GCTAATAATAGCACTGTCAGTGATAGGAGGAAAAGATTGTTATCCTTCATCCACAGCTAGATATAAACAAATGATGTAATTAACTTGGCGAGTGATATCTGTAAATAGCACACATACTTGCACGAGAAATAACATGGTTATTGCAAGTTTGAAACTGTATAACCTCTAATACTCTTAAAACCTGAAACTTTTTTTTATGTGATATTTTGATCACTTGAGGTTTCTTAGGAAAGCAATTATCAAATTTTAGCAGAAGAGACATAGTGTAGATCAGTTAGCTTGAAGAGTCAGAAAATTAAATGATGTCATATATGTAATTCCTTAGTGACTGAGCTCTCTGAGCCTTGGTTTCCTCACCTGCAAAATGGGCATAATACCTCTAGAGTTGTGAGGATGAAATGTGACATAGCATGTGTATAAGTGCTTTAGTGTCTGGCACAAAATAAATGCTAGTTTTCTTACCTTTTTTCCATTGGTGTTACTTTGAAACTAAAAGGATTAGGTTTGATTGGCATAAATTTTTTTTTTTTTTTTTTGGTGGGGAGGTTTGATCTGAGCTAACATCCATTGCCAATCTGCCAATCTTCCTCTTTTTTTTTGTCGAGGAAGGTTAGCTCCGAGCTAACATCTATGCCAGTCTTCCTCTATTTTGTATGTGGGTCACCACCAAAACATGACTCAACAAGTGGTGTAGGTCTGCACCCAGGATCCAGACCCACAAACCCAGGCTGCTGAAGCAGAGTGTACCAGGCTTAACTACTATATCACAGGGCCAGCCCCAGCATAAATTTTTACCATGACAGTTTTTTATCTCACCATGATTTCATATGTATATTAAACTTAGCTGAATTTTAGAATTGGAAGAAGACTTAGTTATCATTAGTCTAGCTCCAACCTCCCTCATTTTCCCCTTTCATTCCATTTTATAGGTAAGGAACTGGCTTAAAATGGAAATGATATATCCATAGTTCCACTACTAGTCCAGTCTTCTTCCTACCCATTTTTAAAATCTCAATCATTTTAATACATTCTTCCATTTTAAATTTATTTTGCCAATAAGAACAAAATACAAGTAGTTTATAAATCTTATTAGTACTCACTGCATTCTCAAGAGATTGACTTCATTCACACAGTTAAACAAAATGACCAGAAAGTTCAGATTTAAATATGGCTTAAAATACTTATAAGTCCTTTTTTAAGAAAAATAAAATGTCTTTCAGGATTTTCCATTTACTCCTCCAAAATTTTGTATCACAACAGCAAACTTAAATAATTTTGTATCTGACTATCATCATTATGATACTGAAAAGAATTATGCATGGTCTTTTTATTTGGTGACCTGAATCCTGTATTTTTCTGGGAAGTATTTGCATTACTGGGTTATCACTGCTTTACAAATATGCCCATTTGATAAATATTACACTGTGTAGTTTTGTATGTTTAGCAGAGCAGTCTAAAATTTTGAGTTTATTTTTTGCTTAAATGATTTTTAAAAAAGCAAGTTGACTAACCAGGAAGATCTTTTGCTATATTTTCTTATTTTTGCCCTAAATATTTTGACGTCATTTCAAATCTCAACTTAATCTTACCTTAATTCATATAGCCCTTTTATAGTTTTTAAATCACTTCTCAACAAAACCCTACTATAAAAATAGTTTTTTTTTAGAAGATAAGCAACTTAGAATGTATCTTGGTAAGCTTGTTCTATGAATGTGATCTTAGAACATTTTTGCATTAAAAAGAGACTATTCTTTTCTGTGTGTGAGGAAAATTCACCCTGAGCTAACATCCGTTGCCAATCCTTTTTTTGTTTTTGGCTTGAGGAAAATTAGCCCTAAGCTAACATCTGTGCCAGTTTTCCTCTACTTTGTATGTGGCATGTCTCCACAGCATGGCTGACTAATGGAGTAGGTCCGCACCCAGATCTGAACGTGCGAACCTGGGCCACCGAAGCACAGGGCGCGGAACTTTAACCACTCAGCCACAGGGCTGACCTCTAGACTATTCTTTTGGATCTGTAGTATACACATCTAAAATTGAAATATTTTCTAGTTTCACTACTATTTGTGAGATTAAAACATTAGGTGTTTTTGCTAGATACTAAATTGGACCAGGTCAACATTCAAAGTAGAAAATATTATAAACACACAATGCGTTATATAAAGGTAAATAACTACAAGCTGTTATCAGTTCAGTTTTTTAAACTTAAGTCATTTTCTTATGGTTGTGAGAGCTAAGAAAGACAGAATATATGTAAAATTCCTGGTGCTGTGCCACTCAAATATATTTTCATTTTGTTTATTTTCAATTCATGTAGCTTTGCTCCCTTGTTAAATAACTATTTATAAACAATTCAGATATATCAGGGTAATTGTCATATAACCTTACAGAAGATCTTTAGGTAATCTAAATAGTACTTCTCCCTTAATTAAAATTGTGTTTGGATACCAAATGAATAAGAATATCAGGGTACTATGAAGCACATTTTTAAGTTAACTTAAAATTATGGGGGCCAGCCCCATTGCCAAATGGTTAAAGTTCTGCATGCTCTGCTTTGGTGGCCCAGGTTCACAGGTTTGGATCCCAGGTGCAGACCTACTCCACTCAGCAGCCATGCTGTAGAGGCTTCTGGCATACAAAATAGAGAAAGATTGGCACAGATGTTAGCTCAGTGTGCATATTTCTCATCAAAAATAAATAAATAAAATTACTGAGCATTCTTTTACAGTAAAATTATTTTATTTCTCTCCAGGAATCCATCAACAGTATCAAGTCCAGACTAAGCAAAAGTGGTCATATCCAAACTCTGCTTAGAGCATTTGAGGCTCGTGATCGAAACATACAAGAAAGCAACTTTGATAGAGTCAATTTCTGGTCTATGGTTAATTTAGTGGTAATGGTGGTGGTGTCAGCCATTCAAGTGTATATGCTGAAGAGCCTATTTGAAGATAAGAGGAAAAGTAGAACTTAAAACTCCAAATTAGAGTAGTTAACATTGAAAAAAAGAGACGGGAAAATGCAATGAACTGTTACAGTCAAGACCATTAATAGTTTTTTCCAAAATGTTTTCAGGCATTACCATAGGTGTGAAAAAAGTATATTAATGTGAACGGAAAGTCTTCACTTTCGTCTGTGTAAGTAGTCTTATTGCTCTAGTTGTACTTAGGTGTAGAACAGAAATATTTTGCAGAGGTGTAACTGAATGAAGCCATATTAATAACAGCATTTCCCGGAGTTTGAAAAAAATTTTTCAGATATCATAGGTGATTTAAATAAATGAACTTTGGGCCTAAATGCAACACTGAACAATGCTTTTAAAACATTCTCTTACCTAGAAGTTTCTTCATAAATGTCACAATTACAAATGAATTGTAGCAGTTTTCAATATAAGTTATAAATCACCTGAGAATTACCTAATCATGAATTGAATATACCTTTAGAAAACAAAGACTCAACTTTTCTCTTTTTGCATATGCATCTCTCCTATAATGTAAATAGAAGCATAGATGTGAAAGATTTGTGAGATTTTTATAACTAAATATATTTCAATTTAAAATATTAGCAAAAAGTATTAGTTTTATATACTTAGCCTGCGTTCCCAAAAGCTGACATTTTGATAATTCTTATAAATGCTAAGTCAACTTATTAAAATTAGGACAAATTTCCTCTTTGAAGTGAAGAACAGCTAAAGGTTGCTTAACCACCATAAGGACACATTCTAATTCTTAACTAAGGTAATAGGATTTTAAAATTAAATGTGAGGGAAAATAATTTTATTTTTATATTATCTGTCAATAGTATTATGTTAATTTTAACAAGATTACTGACTTGGATAATACATTATTACCAGCAATTGTGAGGGAAATATTGGTAAAAGGATCTGGGCCTAATGTAAATAAATATCTCCTTTTCTGAGTTCTCAAAATCAATAAGAACTAATAAAACTAATAAAAAAAAGAATTGAGGTAAGCTTGAGAACATCTGATAAAAATTAAGTTCACTTAAACTGTAAATATCCAGAATCTGATTGGTTCATCATAATGACTCAATCCTAATATAAACCATGAGATTAATTTCTAGTTAATTGGAAAAAACTGTACTGTGGGTTTTTTACAATTGTTTTGTTTTGAATTATCTAAGTATTCAGGTATATTTTATGAAATATAAGCCCTACTGTAAGGTTTAGCACTGGGTACATATATTTATTATAATTTTTATTATAGCTTTCATAAAATGACCTTTCTGATCACTTTATTTATCGACATTCAAGTAAGGATTGGAAGCCCACAGAATCCCGTTTAAATACTCAATATGTGAATAACTATATATATGAAGTCTCTGCCATCCTAGCTTATTGCAGTCTGTGGAGTCTTACTCAAATACTAGTAATTTAGCTACATCATGAATTAATTAGAATTTTTAGGTTATATCCATTTGTAATGCTGTTATGACAAATGTGAGTTAGAAACAATCAGCTTATGAATGTAAAACCACTCTGTAGGTTAGTACTGCTGGAATTCTTAATAAGCAATAATGATATCCAGAGAGAATGGTTTCATTTATAATTTACACAGAGTGGTACAAAAAGAGATTTATTTCCCTCTTTCTTACGCCCTTGGTAGAAGAGAAGCTTAGATTTACCTATTTTGAAGCTGTTCAAAAATGAGGTAAATGCCATATAATGATCAATCACTTTAGTTGGCCATGAAAATGCTCTAAGTGTCCAGGAGTAGCCCATGTAACACATGCAAAACAAAGGCCAGTAAGATCATTGCCTATGAAGAGCCCTTCCTTTTCCCCCTTCTGTAAAACTCATGAGAAGCAAACTTAAAATATTGTAACTAATAAAACAGTACAGATACAAACTACTGCATCTTTTCTATAAAACTGTGATTAAGAATTCTACCTCTTATGTGTGTCTGGTTACTGTACTGTACTCTCTTACCTAACAGTTTGTTACATCATCTACAAATGATTTGTGCCACTGATTTTAAGCCTATGATTCAGTAACTTCTTACCATTTAATAATGGCCTTCTTTGGACAACAAAAAATTTAGGAATATTGAGGACAATTTTATTTTTATAGATACAAAGTGAAAAGAGCAGGATTATTTAAGCATGTTACCTGTATAAACCAAAAAAAGTAAAACTTGTAAGCAAAGAACTAAATTCTTTAATATTTCTAAAGGCATATTGTTTATCTGCCTCATGGTTTTTTAATGTCAGTATTCAATTTGAAAACCAACATTATGCTAAAATTGAGTAAGCTATTTATCACTTAACAGCTGGTTTTGTCTTCAGTTTTTAATTATATAAACTTTTAAAATACTGCAATATTTAACTAAGACTAGAGTTTCACTCTCATTTGCATTTGGATCATTAATATGTTGTTAAGGTGAATATCAAGACAGAGGGTAAATGAGTGGTTGAAATAGCAGTGAAATAAATGACAAATTGCAATGTAATTTTATGTTAAGTATATTTATCTTTCTTAAGCATTGTTATTACGTCTTAAAATAGACAAAAATTGAGAAACTATAATTGTATGCCTCTCCAAATGAAAATTCTTTATTTGAAATTTTAAAAGAAATTGATTCAGCATGTAATGGTTTTTCATCTGAAGTAAAATAGTATACAATCAGTGTTGCTCAAATTGCATTATAGTTGTGGACAGCCATATAAGATGAGCAATGAATACTGCACTGAGTATCTATAATAAAAGTTACAATCAAAGAAAATCTTACTTATCTACCAGTCATTGTAAATGCTGTCTAATCCTTAAAGCCTTCACTGATCTCATCTTAGCCAAGTGTGCTCTCCCTTCCATTCGAAAACCCATAGTTCTCCACACTTAGTGTATCTCATTCTGTCTTGCACTGGAGTATGTGTACTTATTCATCTGTTGCCCAAACATGCATTCTAACTACAAAGTGCTCAAAATATAGGGGCAAAGATCATTCTGAAAGTTTGGAATTCTAAATAAGCACCTGGGAGCTTGTTCCACTCCTCTACCTACCCAAGACAGTGATTGTTTAAGCCTAGAATGTGGTTCCAGAATCTTAATTCTTAACCAACACAATTTGAGATTATGTCGTCCATTATCCCTGGACCATTTGCCAACTGGGTGATCTTGGGAAATCAAAACTCCTTTGAGCCCATTTCTTCATTTGTAGAAATAATTTAAGTAACATCTCAAAACTTAATTAAAATAGCATATAGGAGAGTCCAGTGCTTGGAGTTTGGTGTATTATTGGTCATTTCCTTCATACCATCTAGACAAGCCACTCTTCGCCTACAAGGCGGTAGAATTCCTCAGGCAACTTTCTGCTTCTGCACTCCCATCACTTGAGATGTGTGGGCTTCGGGAAGGCTTGTCATTAGAAACTGGAGCCATACTACACTTAACGTATATCTGAGGCGAGGGCACAGAATAAAGAATCCAGACCTAAGGTGATGTTATATGAGAGTCGGCACATTGAGATGGACTCTGGATCCCTGCATCTGAAAGAAGAGAGCGAGAAAATACAGGGTAGGGAAAAAATTTGGGGGTCTTCAATGACCATGAGTCAACAGGAAAATCAACAATGAGAATCAGTTGTCTGACACTGAAATGAACTCCCTTATATATAAAGAAAGAGACTACTCCCCAATGCTGGAAGTTTTCAAGTGGCAATAATGATCAGATGTTTGTAAAAGGGATTGTTTCTACATCTGACATCAAGTGGGTTGATGGACTAATAAACCTATCCTTTCCACCCTTATTTTAATTCTAAAAGGACTAGTAAAGCCATTTGTAGGAGAAAGCTGAAAGAAAAGCCCTGAGCTTCAAGTCACATTTTAGAGTTCTATTTTGCTGGATTCTTGCTTGGTATTCAAAAACAAATTGGAAACGAAATTAGAAACACAATACCATTTACAACCACTCCAAAGAAAATGACATGCTTAGGTATAAATCTAATAAAACATACAAGGATCTGTATGCTGAAATTATCAAATGCTGGTGAAAGAAATCAAAGACCTACATAAATGGAGAAGTATACCATGTTCATGGATTGGAAAGCTCAACTTAGTAAAAAGGTCAATTCTTCCAAAATTAATCTAAATATAACTTAATTACTATGAAAATCCAGCAAGGTCTTTTTGTAGACAGAGATGAGCTTAGTCTAAAATTTACATGGAAAGGCAAAGCACTAAAACAATTTTGAAAAAGAATAAAGCTAGCTATGTTAATGCTTACTATATAGCTACAGTAATCAACACTGCATGGTATTGGTGGAGGGAAAGACACAAAGATCAGCGGAAGAGAGATGCTAGAAATACACCAAAACAAGTCCAGGTGATTTTTCACAAAGGTGCAAAAGGAATTCAATAGGGAAAAGCAAGCCTTTTAAATAAACAGTGCTGGAGCAATTGGGACAAACAGGTAATTATATGAACATAACTGTAAAAAACTATAAAGCTTTTCAAATTATGAGAAAATCTTCAGGACCTAGAGCTAGACAAAGAATTTTCACACGACACCAAATGCATGACCCATAAAAGGAAAAACTGATCAACTGAACCTAATCAAAAAGAAAACTTTTGCTCTACACAAGACCCTGTTAAGGGGATGAAAAAATAAGCTACAGATGGGGAGAAAATACATACAAACTACATATCCAAAAAAGGACTACAATATATAAAGAATTCTCAAAGCTCAACAGTAAAAAAACCCAATTTAATTAGAAAATGGGCAAATGACATGAACAGACATTTCAATGAAGAAAGTATGTGGATGGCAAATAAGCACATGAACAGATGTTCTACATCATTACCATTAGGGAAATTCAACTTAAAACCATAATGAGATATCATTACACACCTACCAGAATGGCTAAAATAAAAAATAGTTACAACACCAAATGCTGGCAAGGATACAGAGAAACTGGATCACTCATACACGGCTAGTGGGACATAAAATGGTAGAGTCACTTCAGGAAATATTTTGGCAGTTTCTTATGAAACTAAACATGCACTTACCATGCAACCCAGCATTTATACTCTTGGACACTTACCCCTGAAAAATGAAAACATATGTTCAAATAAAAACCTGTAAACATTTCAAATTCCACATAGCAGCTTCATTTGTAATAGCCCCAAACTGGAAATAACCCAACTGTCCTTCAAAGAGTGAATGGTTAACCTTTAGTACACCCATACCGTGAAATACTTACTATGCAGCAAGAAAAAGGAATAAACTATTGATATATGCAACAATTTGGGTGGACCTCAAGGGAATTAAGGTCAGTGGGGAAAAAAACCCATTCTTAAAAGGTTACACACTGTATGATTCCTTTTATGTAACATTTTTGAAATAAAATTAGAGACAGAAAACAGATTAGTGGTTGCCAGTTGTTAGGAATGGAAGGAAGAAAGGAAGAAAGAAAATGTGGCTATAAAGGAAGCCTTGTGGTGGAACAATTCTGTTTTGAGTGGTGGTTGTATAAATCTACATGTGATATAATTACATAGAACTATATATACCCACACACAAATGAGTGTTTGTAAAATTGGTGAAATTTGAACAAACTGGACTGCACCAACGTCTATTTTCTGGATTTGATATTGTACCATGTGCAAGATGTTACCATTGGGGGAACCTGTGTGAAAAGTACACAGGAACTCCTTGTACATTTTTTTTGCTACTTCTTGTGAATCTATAATTATTTCAAAATAAAAATTTAAAACAAAAATGGGGAAGATGAATTTTATACCTGACACAGACATTAGTGTGTTGGTATATACATATTTCTGAATGAGCCCAGGAATGAGTAAAATAATTTACTCTAACTTCAAATTAAATAAAACCAAAATATTATCAGTGAAAAACCAATTGTCATTTTAGGTATTGCTTCAATTCTTAAGAATTTAGTTATCAGTAGAAAGATGAAACACTGTATTCTTCAGGAAGCTTAAGGAATTGAGCCTGATTGGTTATACATGAAATATGAAAGAAGAATCCAGAGTCAACCTTTTTCCTTTCTGAAGCAATTCCATATTCTAAAATATTATCCAGAGGTTATACTATGATGAACTGGTTATTAGAACACTACCATAGGGAGACCACAGCTATTTCTCAAATGTTGCAGAAGCACTGTTCTGTGAATCTCAACAGAGAAGCTATCCCTGACTTTTTAGCACTGATCATACAACACCATAATTAACATATACAAACCCTCTACTAGACTCTAATCTCTGAAGGCAGAGAACACGTCTATTATATCCACCGCACCCAGTACAATGCCTAAAACACAGTATTTGCTGATGCAAAAAGGAGGCACACAGTTTATTATTAAGTGAAAAGTAAAGTTTCAAAACAACATGAATGATCTTTTTTCAGTAAAAACAAAGAGAAATAGATAAAAAGGCTAGAAGCCTACATCATTATGTCTGGATTGTAGAACTGGGGGGATTTTCAGAATCTTTTATAGTTTGTGTTGTCTGAATTTTTCACTGAGAAATATTTTTATATTATACTTAGAAAATAGTGAAGCTTTTCCATTTTGGGGAAAAAAAAACACAACAGGATTGATAAAAGGTTTCCTGCCCTGTTTTTCTCATCTACTACTTCCATCCTTCCCCATCACTGCCCTTTCTTCTAAACCACATCTTCATTCTCTTGGAACTGCTTCACTAATTCTTCTTGTTGCCAGCTAAGGTACAACAACTTGGGGTTAAGCATAAAGGTAATACATTAGAAACAAATTAGCATTATTTCCTCCAAGTCAGGTTTAGTTGAGGAAAAAGAGTACTATTCACTCCAGATGTAAATTTCTATTACAAGAAAATCCAGAATTGGAGACTATTACAGTTTTCTTATGAAGGGAATTAATTGCTTGTTGATTGTAATATTTAATTAGTTTTCAAGGTCCCCTACTACTGGACTATAGCAAATGCTCGTCATTTTCTAAACCGAAATTTATATTTCTCAATTCCAAAGAAAAAGTAAATCAGTTTTAGTAACTACTTGAAATATTTTAACGCTGCTTTCCAGTGTTAACCAAGAAAATCATCTGACATTTTTCCTCATCACTCTAAATATCTTATAAATATTTTTATTATTAATTTTTCTTCCCAGAACAGTCTTTTCCTCATTCATTTTAAAACCCAAACTATTTGCATATTACTTCTTTTCAATATTTCTTTTTAAAAAGTATTTTCAAGTTTGATTTTTATTACTACCTGCTTTTTATGCAACTACACTTTGGAGTCCAGTATGGACTTTTGTATCCACAGTATCCACCTGGAAAGCCCTATGAAGTATTCTCTTGGAAACACTTCCAAGTGCTTTTGCTTCAGAATAAGCTTTCTTTTCTTTTCTTTTCTTTTCTTTTTTGCTGAAGAAGATTCGCCCTGAGCTAATATCAGTTGCCAATCTTCCTCTATTTTGTATGTGAGCCACCGCCACAGCATGGCCACTGATAGATAAATGATGTAGGTCCATGCCTGGGAACTAAACCCGGGCTGCCAAAGCAGAATGCACTGAACTTAACCACTAAACCACGGGGGCTGGCCCCAGGAGAAGCTTTTAAATAAAACAATGCAATGGTTTCCCACTATAAATATAGGTATTACTTGCTTCAACAAAACAAATACTTGTTTTGTTCAGCTAATACCTTCTAAATAATTATTTCCATATTACGACAGCGAGTATGACAGAAAACCCATATTTTAATTGAAAGTCCTACATACTTGCCACAGTACCACCATAAAGAAACTTGAGTGTTCTAGGTCTTTGCTTAAAGAATGGTGACAAGCAAGTTTTCAATAATAAAGAGCATAAGCTTCTGGGAAATGCCTGGCAGAAGCAGTAGCTAAGAACTAGTCTTGTTCCATAATCTGGTCCTACTCCACTTCTTTACTACTACCTTTACTTCAAAGCATCAACCTTTTGTTCCAACCAAGCCTAACTTCCTTCCTTACTGTTCTCTGAACTAACCTGCTCCTCTTCTGTTCCCTCTGTTTAGTAACATCACTAGCCTCCCAGGCCTTCAAAACTTAAAGACCTCTTACCTGCTAAGTCACCAAGTATTGTCAGCTAATCTCCCTAATCTTTCTCATGCGTATTCTCAACATTCCTACTGCTTCTACTACACCTCAGATTTACTGAGATTTAGATTAGCTCTAGCTGGCTTTGCTGCTCACACGATTTCCCTCTAATTCATCCTAAATACCAGTGCCAAACTAATCTTAATACACACCTTAGCAGGATGGTTCAATATCCACAAATCAATCAATGTGATACATGACATAAACAAAATGAGGAATAAAAACCACATGATTATCTCAGTAGATGCTGAGAAAGCATATGACAAGATCCAACATCCATTTATGATAGAAACTCTGAATATAATGGGCATAGAAGAAAAGTACCTGAACATGATAAAGGCCATTTATGACAAACCCACAGCCAACATCATACTCAATGGGGAAAAACTGAAAGCCATCCTTCTGAGAAGAGGAACAAGACAAGAGTGCCCACTCTCATCATTCTTACTCAACATAGTACTGGAGGTTTTTAGCAGAGCAATTAGGCAAGAGAAACAAATAAAAGAGATCCAAATAGGCAATGAAGAAGTGAAACTCTCACTGTTTGCAGATGACATGATTTTATATATAGAAAACCCTAAAGAATCCATCGGAAAACTATAAGAAATAATCAACAACTACAGCAAAGTTGCAGGGTACAAAATCAACTTACAAAAATCAGTTGCATTTCTATACCCTAATAATGAACTAACAGAAAGAGAACTCAAAAATCAATCCTGTTTACAACTGCAACAAAAAGAACAAAATATCTAGGAATAAATTTAACCAAGGAAGTGAAAGACCTATATAGTGAAAACTGTAAGACATTATTGAAAGAAATCGATGATGACATAAAGAAATGGAAAGGAATTCCATGCACATGGATTCGAAGGCTAAATATAATTAAAATGTCCATACTACCTAAAGCAATCTAGAAATTCAGTGCAATCCCAATCAGCATCCCACTGACATTCTTCACAGAAACATAACAAAGAATCCTAAAATTCATATGGGCCAACAAAAGACCCCGAATTTCTAAAGCAATCCTGAGGAAAAAGAACAAAGCTGGAGGCATCAAAATCCCTGACTTCAAAATATACTACAAAGCTATAGTAAACAAAACAGCATGGTACCAGCAAAAAAACACAGACAGATCAATGGAACAGAATTGAAAGCCCAGAAATAAAACCACACATCTACAGACAGCTAATCTTCTACAAAGCAGCCAAGAACATACAATGGAGAAAGGAAAGTCTCTTCAATAAACGGTGTTGGGAGAACTGGACAGCCACATGCAAAGGAATGGAAGTAGACCATTATCTTTCACCATACACAAAAATTAACTCAAAATGGATCAAAGACTTGAAGGTAAGACCCGAAACCATAAAACTCCTAAAAAAAAAATATACAGGTAACACACTCTTTGACATCGCTCTTAGAAGGATCTTGTCAAATATGTCTACTCAGACAAGGGAAACAAAAGAAAAAATAAACAAGTAGGACTTCATCAGACTAAAGAGTTTCTGCAAGGCAAAGGAAACCAGGATCAAAACAAAAGACAAGCCACCAACTGGGAGAAAATATCTGCAAATCATATATCCAACAAGGGGTTAATCTCCGTACTATATAAAGAACTCACATTACTCAACAACAAAAAAACCAAACAACCCAATCAAAAAATGGGCAGAGAATATGAACAGATATTTCTCCAAAGAGGATATACAGATGGCCAAGAGGCACATGAAAAGATGCTCAACATCACTGATCATCAGGAAAACGCAAATCAAAACTACACTAAGATATCACCATACACCCATTAGAATAGCTATAATAACCAAGACAAAAAATAACAAATGTTGGAGAGGTTGTGGAGAAAAGGGAACCCTCATACACCGCTGGTGGGAATGTAAACTGGTGCAGCCACTATGGAAAACAACATGGAGATTTAATCAAAAAATTAAAAAGAGGGGCCAGCCTGGTGGCGTAATGGTTAAGTTCACATGTTCCAGTTCAGCAGCCCAGGGTTCACTGGTTCGGATCCCAGGTGCAGACCTATGCACTGCTTGTCAAACCATGCTGTGGTAGGCGTCCCACATATAAAGAGGAAGGTGGGCATGGATGTTAGCTCAGGGCCAGTGTTCCTCAGCAAAAAGAGAAGGATTGGCAGCAGATGTTAGCTCAGGGCTAACCTTCCTCAAAAAAAAAAAAACATTAGAAATAGAAATACCATATGACCCAGGTATCTCACAACTGGATATTTATCCAAAGAACTTGAAATCAACAATTCAAAGAGACTTACGCACCCCTGTGTTCATTGCAGCATTATTCACTATAGCCAAGAAGTAGAGGCAACCCAAGTGCCCATCAACTGGTGATTGGATAAATAAGATGTGGTATATATTTACAATGGACTACTCCTTAGCCATAAAAAAAGACAAAATCTGGGGCCGGCTCCATGGCCGAGTGGTTAAGTTTGCGTGCTCCGCTGCGGCGGCCCAGGGTTCAGATCCTGGGCGTGGATATGGCACCACTCGTCAGGCCACGTTGAGGCGGCGTTCCACATCCCACAACTAGAAGGACCTGCAACTAAGATATACAACTATGTTGCGGGGGGGCGGGGGAGGGGGCGGTTTGGGAAATAAAGCAGAAAAAAAAAAAAAGGTTGGCAACAGTTGTTAGCCCAGATGCCAATCCTTAAAAAATAAAAAAAAAAAAAAGACAAAATCATCCCATTTGCAACAACATGGATGGACCCTGAGGGTATTATGTTAAGCAAAATAAGCCAGACAGAGAAAGACAAACACCATATGATTTCACTCATATGTGGAAGATAAACTAACAGATGGACAAAGAGAACAGTTTAGTGGTTAACAAAGGGGAAGGGGATTAGGAGTTGGGCATAAGGGGTGAAGGGGCATATTTATTTATATGGTGACTGACAATAACGTACAACTGAAATTTCACAATGTTATAAACTATTAAGGCCTCAATAAAATTTAAAAAATTTTTAAGAATAGCTTTCTAATGACGTAATTCTTCACTGGAAAATTTATATGCAGAGGTAAAAATAAGAGAGAAAGTCTAAAATATAAAGTTATACAAAATTATAACACAAAAAAATTAATAGATCTGTTATAGATATGCTCTTGGATTCTGGAAGAGATTTGGTGATAAAGGGATACAGGAACCAAAACTGTGCCTCCATAAGTCTTAGACAAACCAACAGTCTTTCCCTCCCAAAAGTCTGTCCAACAAGCTTCATTTCCTTAAACTTCCTTATCTCCTCAAGGAAAAGTTTAACTTCAGGGATACCTAAGCAAGCTTTACATATTTTCAAAGGGACTCAAATTCTCACAAAAATCTTGTTTTTGTCTCAAATTCTGTATAGGAAAAATTTCCTTACATTCCACTAATAGTATTAAAGATAAAATATGTAAGATGTCAATTATTGGTTAAAATAACACTAATTAGAATACTTCTCTAAGTTCATATTATTAATACTGGATGCTGCTATAAACATTTAACCTAAATTTACAACTTCTTTTTGAATAACTTTATTTTTTTTCATTTATTTATTTTTTTGAGGAAGGTTAGCCCTGAGCTAACATCCACCACCAATCCTCCTCTTTTTGCTGAGGAAGAGCGGCCCTGAGCTAACATCTGTGCCCATCTTCCTCTATTTTAAATGTGGGATGCCTGCCACAGCATGGTTTGATAAGTGGTGCGAAGGTCCACGCCCAGGATCCAAACTGGTGAACCCTGGGCCGCCGAAAAGTAGCATGCAAACTTAACCGCTAATGCCACCGGCCGGCCCTGAGTAACTTTTAATGTAACTTATTTACTTACATAAACTATAATGTTCTAAAATTACATATGCAAATTATCAACTTATATAAACACATAATAGCAACGTAACCCAGTTTTTAAAAATCATTCAAAAATGGTATTTCTCCAGCAAAAGTAAAACATTTAAAAAACTTAATTTCTTAAATTGTTTTTGGTGAGCTTACTTTTAATTTCTGCTTGATACAAAAAAATTATTTTTAACTAGCTGCTATATATCGATTCAGATATTGTCAACATTTTTCCTTTTCAGTTCTTGACATAACTAATGATGGCCTGAATAACCCTGTTAGAACTAAACAACAAAATGTAAATAGTCTTATTTAATTCTCCAAGCCCAGGTCACACACCAAAGCACTGAGGATCAAACAGAAACATCCACAAAAGTCAGTGGAAGTCAAAAGCCATGTGCAGACCACCTCTCACAGGATGACTCCGAGACTGAACAATCAAAGTCCTCCAAAACATAGCTATCCATCTGCCACAGTTTCGTAGCACTGATTCTTGCACATATTTTGTCTACGTTCCATGAACTCAAGATCAGTGCTGCTCTTGTGATACTCAAGAAGACTCAAGGAAAGTAATTAAATACTAAAGAATAAGATCTTTGTCAAGCAGAGTTAAGCTTTGGAGGGCCACAAACCATTATCTAAGACTTTTTTGCCACCCCATGAATCAATCTGTGCCCATTTTGGGACTATATTACTCATTGAGAAAGCATGTTATAGGCTACAAAAAAAGAGGGGGAGGCGGATTGAATATCTTTTGGTAAACACAAGGAACAGAAATTAGACTAATGATTTTGAAGAGGATATATGTTCGTTTTTTCCACTAAGTACATTTTTTCATCTATGAAAGTTTTGTTCGTTTGTTTGCTTAAATCCAACACAAAGGGCTGGCCCAGTGGTGTAGTGCTTAAGTTCGTGCACTCCACTTCAGGTGGCCTGGGGTTTGCCAGTTTGGATCCCGGGAATGGCCCCAGCACCGCCTGTCAAGCTACACTGTGGCGGCATCCCACATAAAATAGAGGAAGATTGCCACAGAGGTTAGCTCAGTGACAATCTTCCTCAAGCAAAAAGAGGAAGACTGGCAACAGACATATTAGCTCAGGGCCAATCTTCTTCACAAAAATATCCAGTGGAAAATTTTCTTGAATGAGATATCACATTCCTTGAAAATGCTGCAAAAGTGTGGAGTTATTACTAAGCATCCAGTTTCAATACTCATCATCTCCAACAAAGAGAAAATGCAAGGGGAACAAGCAAAGAGGGGTTTTGTTGGGTATAAATGAGGGTAGGGGAGGAAAAAAGAGTGAACTGGTTAATTTGGAGTCTTATTCTAATTTTAAATATAAAGACAACATAATCTTTTGCTCTAGCTATTGCCCCAAGACATTTTTTCTTGATTTTATTTATTTTTTTGGTGAAGAAGATTGGCCCTGAGCTACATCTGTTGCCAATCTTCCTGTTTTGTTGCTTGAGGAAGATTATCACTGAGCTAATACCTGTGCCAGTCTCCCTCTATTTTATATGTGGGATGCCTGCCACAGCATGGCTTGATGAGTGGTGTATAGGTCCACGTCTGGGATCCAAAACCGTGAACCCCAGGCCACCAAAATGGAGTGCACAAACTCAACCACTACACCACCAGGCCGGCCCTGTCAAGACATTTTGATACTATAACTTAAAAGTTACAAACATTATACTCGCTCCCAATACCTGTCGTTCAGAGAGCCAATCAGTTTGCTTTCACAGCTTCTCCCATCTCCAAATTTCTATCAGTCAAGACATCTGGCTTCTTAACTGCTACTAATTAGAAAAGAATTCATGATCAGATAAAATTCTCACTTTACATTTAACTGTCAAGTTTTTATTTTCCTGAGGAAAGAACATGACTGATCAACTGCCAGAGTAAAAACCAAAGGAGACTTTCAGGAGTGCATATTCATAGACATACTCAAATATAAAGAGGAAAACTTCCACACACAAACAGGGCATTTTTTACTCTTTCCCAAAACTGCCTGGACACATTCCTTTGCCATGACATCCTCATTCAAACTACTCCAGAACCACATTATAAAACAGTCTGCTATAACTATGTAAGTCAGATCATGTTCCAACCAAAACTTAATAGTACCTAACAGAAAACTCAATCAGCCTAAAACACAGAATTAGTTCTACCCCCAGCACTAGTAATAGAAATCTTGTGAATATATACACAAAGAAACCAAGCATGCATAGTTGGACAGACCTTGCAAAATAAAAGGGGAAAGTAACCCTCAATATCAGTGAACATTCACTTCTACTAAACATTTAGTAACAAAATATACCTAGCAAGCAAGATCTGACTTCATCATCCATACATTAGAATTTACAGAATAACCGACAGCTCATATTCTCATCTAGTTTGATCACCTAAGGGCCTAAGAATCCATATTTATCATTTATTATCAGGATAGTCATAAAAATTCATTTGTTTTGGATAAAAATGGAATTAAAATGAGTTTATTTTTACATCTTTTCTTTCTGTAACCCAGGGGCAAAGATTTTTAGGAAAAAAACAGAAAATCCTTTTATGTGAACCCTGACACCGTCTATGTAAGTAAGAAGAAAAGAAAACAAAGTTGAAAAGCCTGCATTTTTTTGAAGTTTGGGGACAGGGTGGGTAAAGGGAGATAATATTGTCTTTCAAGTACAAAGTGTACAAGCTGGCTAAATAGTTTATTTTTTTAAAGGATCACTTAAGATGAACATGCAATAATTATTATATTATTTTGGGGACAAAAAGAAAATGTAAGCAAAGTTTTATAAAGATTAATTCCAGTGAACATATTTACAATGAAACTGAAAAATCCTTAGCTCCCTGGCTAAATAAAGGCAGTCATCCACTGCACCAGTGTGTATTTTCAAGCAAATACAGAAGCAAAACTCATTAGCTCTTTAAAAAATACACACATTTAATGTTGGTCTGTTTTAATTCTAAGTAAAGCAATTCCAAAAATACAAACTGAACATCAGAGCCATGTGAACCACCATGATAAAATAAAACAGACATTCACAATAATTACGTCTAAAGACAGTTCAGCTTAATAAATCATCTTCCAAGTATGCTAAAGAAAAAGTTACTAAAAATACTGCTGGTGTTCAGTTAGAATTAAAGGACTTTGGGGAAAATGAAATAATATGTATACAGGTGGAGTGAATAAGGTTACACGGGATTTACATTTTACATTACCCCTAGATATAAACAAACATTCAAAATCAACACAAACTCTGTGTGTTATTCAAAATATTGCAGCTGCAGGAAAGGCAACTTTAAATTAATAGCTAGGGGAAAATCAAGTTTTGGTGGAGGTAAACAGAAGTGACAGTTTTTAATTTGCACTTTTGTAAAGCTCATTTATACCTGGCCAACCAGGAACCAAATGCAGGACAACGAAGTTCTCTGCTTCTTTTGGCTATAATGTGACAAGAAAAGATCATCTTTTGAAGATGTTTAAAGAAATAAAGCAACTTTCTTTATAAACAGTCAAATAATCAATCAATGGAATAAATAAGTACTAACCCACATTTTTACCACTCTGTAATCACTACACTTTACATATTTTTCATTTTGGCGGCAAATTCCCCAATTTTTAGGCTAAAATCCACCAATCACTTTTAAGGGTGAAATGAATAGCCACCAAAATAAGAATATTCTTCTGTTTACTCTTTGGCTAAAAAAGAAAACAAACAAACAAAACAAAACAAAAAGAAACAGAAGACAACTCTAACACTGGTGATAAAAGAAACTGTTTTTTTTACATGTAAAATAAAGTTATCAATTTAAATCTTGGTACATTTTATAAAAACAAGAGGTAATGTTGTAATAAAACAGCGGTAGCCTTGGCAGGCACCATACTGTTTGTTAACCCTGTGCAATAAAATACTTTGTTCATACTACACTTATTCAACATGACTAACAGTTACTACAGACATTTCAGGAATCTTCACGGGACTCCTACAGACTTACTGTTAAAACTGAGAGACATTTACAATCATAATGTGCCATGAAAACTTGAAAACGTTACTTCTAGTAGGAGATAATGTTCATATTATTTGAATTTGTTTTAGGTACTGAACAGCTGAGTTACAAGGACTGAAAGTGAAAAGCATTCTAAAAGCCCATGAACACTGTTGTTCACACCCTTCTTCAGAACACACTAAACTTGTTTGACACATTTCTCTTCATACATAGCAAGCAACAGCACCCAATAAAAGCCTGAGAAGAAATGCTGCTGTGTAAATACTGCAACTATTCCTGAAAAAAGAATTATGGGATATATACTCCAAAGCTGCCCATTCCCATAATTTGTATTGCATAGGTCACATAATCACACACATATATATACACATGTGTGTATATATATGCACATGCAAAGAATATATTAAGACGACAATGAAGTCTAGTCACAGAGCAATTTACAGGCTCAATATATTTTTTACACTTTGCTTGAAAGAAAATTTCAATATTTTACAATCTTTTAGTAGGCATTATATACACTGCACTTTGTGAAATCTAAAAGGTATTGAAATAAACTTTTTCCAACATTTTGGTAACAAAACAGACAATGTTTCTCCAAATACTTGTGCTATCTATCTACATGATCTGTTTGCTCTGATAACCACTAATCACAAAAACTGACTCAATGGAATAATTAGAAAAATTATCTAACACCATGCATGGGTTTGAATCATTTTTAATATCCTATCCTAGAAACATTCTACAAATCTTAAGATTTAAAAAAATTAAGTCTCTGTTCTGATTTTTAAAAGATAGCTTTTTATGACAATATCCATAACATTGACAGGTACATGTTAAGGCTAGTATCATTTCCTTTTGTGAATTTTTTTGACTTTTTATTTTTTTTTTTTTTAAGAAAGATAGTAAAAGCCAGACTCCTTTAGGGCTTTGAACTGTACCTACAGAAAATGAGAGTGCAGTGAACATAATGTTCAGTCCTACAGTCAGGATGCAGTTGCTCCTTCCCATTCCACAAGATACTGCACCTTTCCATCAAGTGTCACCCGACGAGCCAATACTCGATATTTTTCACCACATGCTATTCTACCTGCAGCACCAAAATAACTGGTAATGGAGTTTTTTAGATGATTGAGTTGTAGCTCCTGATCTGCTAAGTTATTCAAAATCTCTGTGTTGAGTTCATCAAATTGGTAATCTTCTTTGCCTTCATCATCTTTTACAATTTCTGAGTTCTGAGTCTGGAGTGCTCTTCTTGGAAGACGACCCCTTCTCCTCCGTAAATGTGGTATTGCAGCAGGCCAAGATCTTCCTGTACGAGTTCTTTTTCTGGAGTCAGATAATCTATGCAACAAAAAAAGCCACAATTGACCTCTAAGCTTATAAAGCATCCTTTGCCTACAAGGTAACTTCTCTGATTTATTTCTATCACTCTACTCTAAGTATAAACTCTTGCTGACACAAAAGCAGCCAAACCAAAACAATGAATGCTACATAAATGTAATGAACTAGAATAAGCACAAACTAGAAGTCGGGGTACCCTGGGTCTAGCTCTATGTGATACTGGCCAAATTCAAATCTCATATCCTCTGTGTTCTCTTAAGTGTAGAGCTTAAATGAAGGAGTTGAACTAGTTCATCTTTGAGGTCCTTTTCAGCTCAGAAATTCAACGATTTTACAATCTTATAACAAGGAGAGAATACAGCACAACAGCTGAATTCAAAGACTTTACAATCCTACTGTCTGAGTTAACATCCCACCTCTGTTATGCTTGCTAAACATGCTATCCTTGGCTTATTACTTAAAATCCTCTAAGTCTCAGTTTCCATCTCTGTACAATGGGAATAAGAGGACCTACAACTCAAAAGATTGTTCTAAGAATTAAAAAAGACAATGTATATAAAAAGCTTACCACAATGCTGAGTCAGAGGCAAAAAATACAGCTCACATCATTATTGTTCACAATTTATTAAAAAATAAGTTACATTTTAAGACTTTAAGTACTTAGACTTTTGTACAATTCACAAGAGCAGTTTTTAAAGAAAGGAAAGTATAAAACTTGCAAGCTCATAGTTCCGATCCAAGTAAAGTAAACTTTTCACACCTGATACATTATACTGGAAAAAGTTGTCCTTCTGAAATAAAATACTAGAGAGGAAGTCTGCTATTGATAAAAATCCTGAGTTTAAAATCTTTTTACTAACAAAAGGATTTATGTGCCTGATTCAGACTTATTAAAAAAAAAACAACCAAATCTTCCTAAAGCAAGGCACGGTTGTAGATTACAAGCATAAAAAGGTCTCACAGAAAACAGCACAGCCTATAAACACCAGTGTATCTATTCTCTGTGAACGCAGCAAATTTCCTAACAAATATGAAACTTTTAATGTTTCTGGTCTGAAAAGCAAAAATATTCAGATGAATATTAACAACCTAAAGAATCTACATATGAATTGCTTCTCAGAAGCTCAAAGACATACTCGTGTTACTTTCAATTGCTAAAAATTTATTTAATCATCACTTTACAAAGAAAAAGAGTCTAGAGGAAAATTAGAAAAGAATAAGAACATAAAATATCTACCCATAATGCCTGGAAATGCTAGACGAGGTAGTTTCTTTTGCACCGGAAGCACCCGTGAAATCCACATCTGAGGTATTGGATGAATGTGCAGTTCCCTCAGTTCTCCTGAGACAAAAGAATTTAAATGGTATAAAAACTATATTACATAACAATAGAAATACTAATTTCCCCCCCAAAAGAAAATTCCTAGGATAGGAGAAAATAATTTTCTATTTACCCTATAGAACAAGGTAAATCCAAGGTAGGATTCTCTGAAATTGATTCCTTTTCCTGAAAAATAAAAAAAGCATACTTAAAGCATGGTTCTAAAGAAGCCTGAAAAGACATTAGTTTCTCAGAAATTTTAAGCATCCCTCCTCTCTGAGAACATATACCAACATATCCTCTTACCAAAGGTGGCTCAGCAGTTTTCTGAATCATTTTTCTTGTATATGGGCCAGGGGGACGACCTACAGATTTTTTCTTTCCTTTTTTTTCTATGCCATTGCTTACTTCCCTGAAACATAAAACCATTATGTATTTAATCTCTGCATAAGGAAAACAAAAAGATGATGGACGATATACACTGTCATAATCTATTCTACTGTAATAATTAGGTTATATTTTCATATAATAATATAAAAATAATATTGAATATAAGTTGAATCTAAACGTTCGGTCAAGTACATAGATAATATATTCTAATTTAAATAAATATTTTTTGACTTAAAGGATATTTACCTATGAAAGGTTTAAGAAAAAATGTTCTCTTTAATACAATTCTGAAAAATATATAACATATAAAAATTAAAAAAACAAAAACAGACTACTATATTAAATGGAAGATTCCAAAACTCCTACAAGTTCAATTATTTAGGTTGTTACTATGTAGGTGCTTAGGGGATGTTTCAAAAATTTACTACTAAAAGTGATTATGAATTTAAGATAACCTCGTGGAACCAGGAAGGATCTATGCTAAAATATAGTAGCTATGAATAGAGGTTGCCTTTAGAGATAAATAAATAAATAAAGACTCCTTGAATATATACATACATACATCATTCATTCTTGAATGATGCTAATCAGGAGAATGAAGCCCAGAGTGGCAGAGCGTAAAGAAGGAAGGAATCCTTCATACTGGGCAGGGAGTCATTCAAAGAGTAAAATTAGAAAGATATAGAAAACTGTTTTTGAGACATAAAGGCAAATATCAAGCAATAGGAAGGAAAAAAAACAATAGTCAAGGACATCTAATTAATAGAAGAGAAGAAGAAAAGGGCAAATATCATTATACGGAATATCTATTTCATTTATTCAAGAATCATTATCTACCATATAGAGAGGATATTAGATAATATGAATACAAAGATGTTCCCTGTGCTAAGGGGTTCAAATTATAGTCAGAAGGCAACAAATGTGTATACAAGCAGGCTAATAAAATGGGTTAAGTACTATAAGAAAGTTATCCAGGAAAATTCAAATAAAAAACAAGGAAAAGGAACAACACATATATAATAGGCTAGAAAGAGGTGAATGGAGAAAATTAGGAAAGAACACCCCTCCAGATATCAAACTAAGGTTGGGGAATAAAGGTGGAAGTAGAAGGAAGTCTGGGGGAGCTAGAGGAACAAAGCATAACTTGAACCTGAATCAAAAGTCTCAAGGATAAGATGGATGGGGTATATATTTTATTTTGAAAGATAATCAACATAACATTTATAAAGGACCCCTTGACTAAAGAAAGAACTCTCAGATTAAAAAGAGCAACTCATGGGGCTGGCCCCGTGGCCGAGTGGTTAAGTTCGCGCGCTCCGCTGCAGGCGGCCCAGTGTTTCGTTGGTTCGAATCCTGGGCGCGGACATGGCACTGCTCATCAAACCATGCTGAGGCAGCATCCCACATGCCACAACTAGAAGGACCCACAACGAAGAATATACAACTATGTACCGGGGGGCTTTGGGGAGAAAAAGGAAAAAATAAAATCTTTAAAAAAATAAAAATAAATTAAAAAAAAAGAGCAACTCATACATAGGGCCCAGAAGGATCTGAGAATGCCTTTAAAGAAAGCTGAACCATTACCTGGTGGCATCAAACGAAAACCTAAAAGCTACCACAGATGGAGTGTCCTATCAAAATCATGACAGGAATGAGAAAGAAAGTTTGTACAAACTTTTTTTCTAATTCATAATATGGGTAATTGCTAGCAAAGGATTAATGATAAAATTTGAAAGTAGTAGGAATATTCTTTCCTTCAGGAAAAAAAAAAAACCCTTAAAATAATATCTACTTTATTACTGTCAACCCTCTGTAATTATATTTTCTTACTCTCCAAGATGACTCTCTCATACCTTTCACCTGCTCCTTAAATTTCCCTCTCTGCACACCCTCTCAACTATGTTTGCCTTATTATTTCATAGAGAAAATAGAAGTTACCAGGCAGTAACTTTAGTCATGTTCCAAGTGCCAAATCTACAAAAGAACCAGCATTTGTACTCATCTTTTTCACCCCATTTCAACAAAAGGGTGTAAGTCCTATCAAGGGCCACTTCCACCTTTAGGCTTTAAATCCCTTCCCCTTTGGCTTCTCAAAGACTACAATATCTTCAATTTCTTCCCCTCTCTCCTACACCAATCTCTTCTTCTCCACTAGATCACTCCTACTACAGGCAAAGACAGGTTCCAATTGTCTTCCATCTACTAAAACCCATCACTTGATCACTACCTTTCCCCTCTCTGGCTTCCATTCCATTTCCCTACTTGCCTTCACAGTAAAACTACTTCTGAGAGTTGACGACACATACCCTTTCCACTTTCTCTCTTCTCATTCAGAATTCAATTCTTAAAGATTATTTCTTTTCTCCTTTTCCTTTATTATTTATCATCATTATTATTTTGAATCTGCCTATGTCTCTTCTTTGCAGAAAAAGTCCAGTTCTGACATGTAGATTAGACAGGGATCGATTCAATCACACTTCCCCACTCCAAACTGACTTCTATCCTTACCTTTCAAAAAAAATTGTTTTTGTCAAAATCACTAATAACAGAACATAACCTTATCCAATGCACATTTTTCTCTCATCTTAATCCACCTCTTAGCAGCATTCAATACTGCTTTAATATACCCATCTTTCTTGAAACACTCCCCTTCTGGTTTTCATGACACCAAACTTTCCTGGTTTCCTCCTATCTCACTGATGATTCTTTTTCACTCTCCTTCATTTATTTTACCTCTTCCAAATCTCTGAATGATATCAGGGCATTATTCTGGACCACATTCTCTTCTCTTTCTCTCTATCTTCTTGCTCTCTAGGTAATTTCATTCATTCTCATGGCTTTATAAATCAGCTTCCAAGTTTATATCATGTGTCCTGACCTCCCCCGAACTCCTAACTTACCCAATTGCATATATCTAACATCATGGCCACTTACATATACTTCTTAAGAATCGCAAACTCAGTGAGTACGCATCAGAAGAAGGCTTCATACACCTTGCCAAAATCTGTTCTTCCAGATCTTGGTAACAGACACCACCACCCACCAGTTGCTCAAGCCAGAAATCTAGGCGTTGTTTAACTTTATTCCTCCCTTTCTTTTATAAATTTAATTCATTAGCAAAAGCAATAAATTCTACCTCCAACAGAGATCTTGAATGTGTTTTCTCTCCATTTACTGCTACCACCTACCCCTGCACAAGTAATCATCATCTCTCACCTAGACAAATAGAAGAGTCTTCATTCATTTTCTCTTGCTTCTATTTTTACCTCTGTACCTATCCAATTTCCAAACAGCATCCAAAAGGTTTTTTAAAAGGATAATTAAATCTGCTTACATCTTTAAAAAGCTCCCCATTATTCTTATAAAACAACCCACACTCCCTATGAGGCCTAGAAGACTCTATATGATCAAGCCCCCCCAACCTTTCCAACAACTTACGCTACTCTCTAGCCCTCATTCATACCTCACTAGCCTTCTGTGAGTTCCTAGAACATGCCTCATACCCTTCATACTTGTTATTTCCACTACCTTAAGTATTCCTCCCTTTGTTCTTTACCTTGTTAGGCCATTCTCATTCTTTAAGTTTCAGCTTAAACAGGCCTTCCTTAAGCCTCCTTCTTAAAGTAGACTCCTTCCCCTCTATCCATCCAGTACAGTCCAAATCCATATGCTACTTCCTAAATGGAACATCCATGATCTGTAATTATTTTACTTGTTTATCACCTTTCTTCCCCATTATAACATAAACCCCATCATGGCAGAGAGAAAGTCTATCTTGTTTGTCATTATATCCCCAGCACTTAGATAGCAAGGTGACTGATAAATGGAATGAATGAATGGATGAGAAATGAACAAACAAACAAAAAAACAGGCCAGTACTTAAGCTGTTTGCTAACAAAACCTATGGAGTTTATTCCTGGAAAGCCTAAGATCTAAAATAAATAAGTAAACATCTAGCATTAACTCTTCGTACTTTGTCTAAGCAAGAAATTATAAACAGGAAAACAAAGCAGGGTAACTGCCACTTGTACTTTCAAATATACTAATGAGACTAAATAACATATATTTTTAGTTACAAATAAGCTGGAGAGAAAAACTATGCCACAGATCAACTTTTACCTTGAATCAGATATAGGTTTGGATGCCTTTCTGCCTTTAATTTTAAATTCATGGGATGTTCCTTCAGGTTCTTTCTCTGCTTTGAAAGCCACATTTGGTGGCACAGGAGGAACTCGAATTCGCAACCCAAACAAATGCTTCTTCTTCTTTATTTCTTTCCCAGACATAAACCTAAATTTTTGAAAAAGATTAACAGAAAATTTAAAAACTGAACACATATACATGGCAGACCCTAACGCATAATTTTCAGATATAAATCGTTTATACATGAAAAGTCCACCCAATACCACAAACACTTGCTCTCTCCCCTTGCTCTCCTTGAGTCCTATCTGCCCCAGAGCCAGTCCACAGTAGGATGTGATTGGGGAGTAGGGAGGGAGGGATAGGATCAGAAGGAAGAGCATATGTCCACTTTTCTTTTTAAAACATGGTATCTAACTTTTGAAAGGAAGGAAAAAGACTACAGAGCACTCTCTTTAGTCCCAATATGTTTTTCCATATTTTGGTGTCATCTGTTGAAAATATCTCAAAAAAGGTTTAAGAGAAGAATTTTATTTCAGAGTGGATCTGTGAGGAGTGAAACTCTGGTCGGAAAGTAATAGGTGACAGCACAGGAAAGGAGAGTAGGAGACCAATCCTAGAGGCCCAGAAAAATAAAAGGGGTGTCTAGTGTGTCAGATCTGGAATTGGAAACAAACTAGAGCAGAAAGGTGTTATTTCAGTGTGGGCTTGAGTCTCTGAAAAATTTGCTCCTTAACCCTTTCCCAAAGTCCTTAGGGTCCTTATTCCAAAACACCCCCATCTATCTTGGCTCTACAAGAGCCTGTCTAGCTAGAAGCAGCACTACCAAACGCTTGGATCATCCCTCCGCTTTTACACAGGTTTTAGAAAGGGGAACCCCAATTTCTACCATAACAGGAACAGATGTATTTCTTGCACCCCAAGTTGGATTACAGAATCCACTGTCCCATAAAGTATTTTTACCAGCACGCTAACTGCTCAGGTACTTTATGGCTTTTTGAGCTTGCCTAAAGATCCAGCCACTAGTAAGTATAATGTTTTTTAATGAGGAAATTCTGTCAAGTTCAAAAAAAGCAACTCGTTACAAACAAAAATTTTACAATATAACTCACTAGTTGATTGGAGCCAGCTTAAACATTTAAAAAAAATTATTTCTAGTGAATTTTGAAAACATTTTTAAGAAACGTACTTATGCTGGCTTTAAAAAAAGAAGGGAAAGATCTATCAAGATCTTATATCAAACAATATCACTTAATTATTAGACCACGAATATTACTTTTCTATAACTGATAGCAATAACTAATCTTAAAACCATAGAAGATCACAATAATTTTAAAACTCATATTCTCTACAATATAGTCCCTTTTCTTTTGCATATTCCCACCAGCTAACAAGATTTTATTTTACTTTCAGTAAATTGCATTATAAAAATAGGTCATTACTGAATACACTTTTTCAACTGAACCGGCCAAATTCCCCTGAAATACTGAATCGTCTCCCAGCCACCATTCCCAGAGGATTGTTCTTCCCTTTTCCAAACCTTGAGAATCACTGTTTTACTCTGACTGAAAGAGAATAGGACATTAAAAAGTTTAAAATAGTATGTATTAGTTCTATACACCAACCCCACAATTCTTAAACAATGTTATTATTCCTTATACTTACTAAATGCCTCCCTCATAGGGATACATAAAATAAATCAACTTACATGGTCTTGTAATCATTTAATGCCTCCAAAACGTGCTCATATCTTTCAGATTTTGGTGTGTCTGCCAGCTGTGAAGTATCAAGAAACAATTTAACACACTATAATTTCATCAATCAGTAAGATACGGTTCTAGATAGAGGCAATGTGATACAGAAGAAAAGTGTACTGACTGGTAGTCAGAAGATCTACATTTTAATTCCAGGTCCTCACTCAGTAGCTGTGTGATCTAAAGCCATTTAATTTCTCAAGGCTTGTTTTTTTTCACCCATAAAAAAGAGAGTAAAAATCCTGCACTAATTACTTTACTAGTAATTGTATGGATCAAATGATATGCCTGAAATAACTAAACTGTAAAACATTAAATTTATTTTAATTCCATAACCTGGGGAAATAATACATTAGAAATACTTTAATATCAACCATAAAAGCTTCTAATAGATACTGATAGGGAGGAGTATAAAAAGTAATAAGAAACATACAATTTTATTTCCCAATACTTCTATTATTAGCACAAACCAATAATCTCTAACTTTAAAAAGTACTGTGAAATTTGGGGATTTTATTTTCATAAAAATTATAGACTTTGGCCAGCCCTAAAACCCGAAATGGCTCAGTAGTTTTTTTATCATCACAAACCATTTTAAAATCTAAGTATTCAATTGTATAAAATATTCTACTTTGTTCCAAAAAGGCCTCTTCCTTCAGAATTATTGCTGCCTGTTTTTCAAAGTTTAAAAACTAGGGCCCAACAGTAAAAAATTCTAAACTATAGGGGCTGGCCCCGTGGCCGAGTGGTTAAGTTCGCGCACTCCGCTGCAGGCGGCCCAGTGTTTCGTTGGTTCGAATCCTGGGCGCGGACATGGCACTGCTCATCAAACCACGCTGAGGCAGCGTCCCAGATGCCACAACTAGAAGGACCCACAACAAAGAATATACAACTATGTACCGGGGGGCTTTGGGGAGAAAAAGGAACAAAATAAAAATCTTTAAAAAAAATTATAAACTATGAAAGGACCATCCTGGGGCCAGCCCGGTGGCATAGCGGTTAAGTTTGTGGGCTCCACTTCAGTGGCCCAGGGTTGATGGGTTCGGATCCCAGGAGGAGACTCACACATCACTCATTAGGCCATGCTGTGGTGGCATCCTACACACAAAATAGAGGAATACTGGCACAAATGTTAGCTCAGTGACAATCTTACTCAAGCAAAAAGAGGAAGATGGGCAACAGATGTTAGCTTAGGTCCAACCCTCTTCATCAAAAACGAAAAAAAAAAAGGGACCATCCTCAATTAAATCACAAAAACTTTAAAAAATGCCAAAATATCACAGTTGACTTTCAAAATTACCACCAATATGTTCTTTACAAGTTCAAACTCCCAAAGCTCAGAACTGTTTCAAGTTAAAAGGGCAAACAAACCTGCCAAATAGAGTGCTGATGGTATAAGAGACTAATAAAGTCCTCTACTCCAATTTTCTTTCTTTTACAGACTAGTTGACACACATAAAAGTTAAATGAACTGCTCAAATTCACATGGCTGGTTAATGAGCTAGAACTTGAATCCAAGTGACAAAAAGTCCATTCATTCAACATTCACCAAAAGCCTATTCTGTGCCAATTTGTTGGGTGCTAAAAAAAAAATGGGACATTTTGGTGCTTATTCCTCCAAATTATCCTACATCCGTAATGTCTGAAGTGTCAAATGATAGAAAATTTCTATTAAAGAAGAAATAAGAGCATCAGACTTTAAAGCTTGAAAGAGACCTTAGATCTAATTCAAGCGTCCAACAATACTGCAATCTCCTTTACAGTACTGATAGTCACTCAACCTTGGCTTAAATATTACCACTAATGAAAGCTAATGAGGTACCTACTGAGGGAGTCCATTCCATAGGTGGACAAAACATTCCTTTCTGGAACTCTTCTATTCCCTCTTTTACAAGACAGTTCTTCAAATATTTGACAGCAGCTATCATGTCTAAGCATAAGATTACGTTAAAGTTTTTAGCAGCCACATCACTTGATTACTTCACATTAAGCTTTGGCTAACTAATTCCATCTTCTTCCTCATCCCCCAAGCCCTCCACTCCAACTCTAACATCTCATCAGATGAACTGCTATCAAATCAAGCACTCCTACTGCATGCCGCTTCTTCCGGACTGCTTGTTGTGTATTGAAGCCTCAAAGCAGAACCATATAACCTGTTGTTAATTTGGTTTTTTTTTCAGCTGAATGTTCAAGATGATCTTTTATCTTGATTCTGTCATCCTTCTTGAATTGAGGATCGAGACAAAGTCAAAATCCTGTGCCTTTCCATTAGAATCTTTCTCAAGAATATTTCCAAGCCATTGACTGCTTTTGTTACTATTAATCAATTAGTTACAAATCCATTTAATTTTTACTTTAACCAGTTCACATTTCAACATCTTATCCAAAATTGAGTTATACTATGTCTACACCATTCCCATAGCATTAGAAATAACAGTGTTGCTAACCATATAAAAAAAAGAAACCAGGATATTTAACATGATTTATCCTAATAAATTAGTGTTTTTTCCTTATTGCTTTTTAAATCTTCACAAACCATATATTTGAAAACTCTGTCCTACAATTTGCTGACAATCAACAACAAAATGGACTAATTTTTTCAAATCCACTCCTTTTTACTTTTTGAAAATCACAATGAACTCTCTTCATTCCGTGGTACTTATTCTCTTTGGTTTCTTAGAAATTTTATCTGTAAGTTCCTTCAGCACTCCAGGACTATTTTGCATGAGTATATTTTAACTCACGTAACTGAGTCAAGGGATCCCTTTCGATATTTTGAAAACTAAGAGTGCAAATATTATAGTGTAAATCAAATAATCTGTATTAGAAGAGGATCATATTCTAGGTCTTCCATCTGACCCATGAGGTTTATAATATATATCTTCAACAGAATAATCATTTTTGTTCCTCCCTCCAGACACTAATCTCACACTATGCTTTTACTCGAAAGTAAAAGGTTGTATATTTCTGTACAGACATAAATGCTTTTATGTATGGTATAACTCTTCCTTCAATAAATTACACCTTCAATTACCAATACTGAATTCCATGTCACCTAGGTATGCCAAACAGCTTAAGTAACGTGCCAACCTATATACTCTATGTTAATAAATAACACTTAAGGCCCCAAGTATTGTTGTTAACCAAATTTCTTACAATTTTCACTTAAAAGTATTATACCAGCTCTATTATACTATATTTTTCTCTAGCCAAAACACCATTTCTGCCATAGTATTTCATTTGAATTTTATCTATGCTTTTCTCCGTACATCCCTCAAAAGTGAGATAGCACTCAATACATCGTTCTGCTATCAACCTCTGGGTTTTTTCAAATTTAAGACCACAGTAGAGGCCAGCCTGGTGGCACAGTAGTTAAGTTCATGTGCTCCACTTCAACAGCCCAGGGTTGACAGGTTTGGACCCCGGGCGCAGACCTACACACCACTCATCAAGCCATTCTGTGGTGGCATCCCATATACAAAACAGAGGGAGACTGGCACAGATGTTAGCTCAGTGACAATCTTCCTCAAGCAAAAAGAGGAAGATTAGCAACACATGATAGCTCAGGGCCAACCTTCCTCACCAAAATAACACGAAGTTTTTAAAAAAAAAAAAAGACCTCAGTTAACACAAAAGTGGGTAGTCCTTATAGGACTAGGATTTCCAAATCACATTAGGAATCAGAGACAAATGATAATAGGCAGATTCCAAACAAGTATTAATATCTCATTTTAACTCCCAAAAGCAATCTGGTACAACAGTGATATCTCATTCTAAATAAAAATCTTAGGCAACCTTTATTTGGGGTCTCAAATGTTATATTACATATTTTTACTATCTCCAAGAAAATATTTCAAAACAGCAGTTTCTCAAGTAGTCTATATGATAACCATTAAGGTACCAAGTCTCAAAGACATTTAAAAACAAATCACATTATGGAAACATGGTATAAAGCTATCATTATATTCTAATATGTTCTAAAAGTTTCACTTTCTCTTCACAGCAATCCTGAAAACAATTAAGTAAGTAAAAAAAACATGATACGTAAATGTTAAATTTCTCTCTCAGTATGAAAGGATATACTATCCGAAAGAAGTTTAGCATTTTAGAAACTTTTTATTACTAAAAGAGGTCACAGTATTTCCGTTATAACAATCAAAATAAAAAACACAATACACTAAACAGATACCATTGATTCAATATAAGATTGCTCCAAGTAACTAGAAATCTAAACAAGTATTTATGAGGCTTCTAAAACAACACAGAAATACCATTAAACCTTAGACAGTGTCATAATGCGTAAAATTAAGTTCAAATTCAGCTCAGAAATGGTAAAAATGAGTAAGTGCCTCCCTGTGACTAGGTGTCAATTATATATTCCTAAACAAATTGCCGTAAAAATCGCAATCAACTTTTGAAATCATCACAAGATTTTTTTCTCTTACCTAGGTGGGGTAAGAGAGGAAACTCCGCATTTGAGAGTAAAATCACAAATATTCTTTTGTTTCATTTTTTAGGAGAAACTTCTAGAGCAAGTGTCAATGTCATATAATCTACAGTACATATAATAAGAATTGATGTTCAAAATGATTAAGTACTCCAAGGTACTCAATTAACCAATAATATGTTTAGCATACCGTATTTCCCAAGTTTTGAAAGTAATTAATGCTATTTTATAAAAAGATTTTGAACAAATACAAACAAAAAGAAATTTTTGTTAACCTAAATTTGGATTAGTGACAAAATTCAATTGGCAATTCAATTTCAGTTAATCAAAGATTTCCTATTTTAATAATCTGAAATAATCCATTATTTGTATTATCTTTGTTTCTATTACCATGAACATTTAAAAGTAAACTAAATGAAAATCACTGAATAAACATCACAGACTGGCATAAATTTTACAGTCTCATTATTAAAATCTCACTCTAAAAACCAATTATAATTACAGTATAAAGATATAAAAGATTAATACAGAGAATTAAAACCTGAACTTCCATCTGTAAATAACCAGTCTAAGGACAGGACGATTAATCTAAGAAGTCTGAATATTTTCTTTTTTTTAACGCCAATGAGAAATGATTAGAAAGTCACCTGCTTGACTAGAATGTTACAGAGAAGTAAAACTTTTCTGATGTTTTTCTTAATTTTTAAATAAAAAGAGAAACATTTTCCATACTGGCAAGGAATAAGAAATTGAAACGTCTTATTTCTAAGACATTATCTCATAAGCTAGAGAAAATGAAAACATGTATCTAGTGCTGAAATAAATTTTTCTATTATATACCAAAAGTTCAGCTGGAACTGAGATACCTGAAATTCATAAATTGAACTCCTTTTTTAAAAAATAGACTAACCATGATTTTTATTGTTTTCTATTTGCAGCCTCTTAAATAAAACCTAAATATGAGATCTGAAACAAATAAAACAACTTGAGTTTTTATATGTATGCCCACTGTCTCCATGAAGTAACTACTGCAGAATTTAATCATGTGAAATATAAAATGTATTAATAGGAATATAAAAGTATCTGCCTACGAAGTGCTGAAAGAACCATCTCAAATATTAAGATGACTATAATAAACACTACATTTACTCGATTTTTTCTTTTATCACTAGTCAGAGCTTATTAAAATTTATCAAATTTGCAAGTCATTCATTTTCTCTCAAACTTCATCAAGAAAAAGAAGCATTTAAGGTGAGTGTTATATTCCAATTTCTAACACTCAAAACATTTTAGAACAAATGATTATAATAACATCCTTGATTTTAAAATCTAAGTATTCTGCAAGTGTTTGTTTTGTCTGCAGCTTATCCTCCTGATGTCCCGTAAAACCCCAAAACAATAAAACCTTGATAGCCTATTTGATAAGAACTTCATAAACTACCTTATGTCTAAAAGCTACAAATGCAGAAATTCTTCCTAAATTTCAAATCAGTTTACACAATTTTTACCTCAAACAGTAATGTGTGACTAAAACTGACACATGTAATTCCACATCTTATAAAACAAAATTTTTAGTTAACCTAAGAGTGGTTAATATCTGTATTTTAATAATTTGAGATAAACACTAAAAACAAGGTAACTATTAAAGTTATTCTAGTTACTTTCTTCTTTGTGCTATTCAATAGCTTCAAAATCTTCAACGAACATGGATTAACTTTTATATTGCTTTAAAAAAGCTCTTGGTAAACCAGCATGAGTTGGTTATACTTTGCAAATGAAAAGCAAAATGAGATGTCAGAATGAGGGCTAATCTCCAACTCAGGTAGCTTCATCCTCTAACCCATTATTCTAACACTATTACTGGGTCCCACCATTCCTGGAAGTCAAAGATATATTAGAAGTACCAACAAAAGAGTGTGAAAGAAGAGTGTTTGTTACATCTCTAAGTTTACAAAACCATAAAAGAAAAGGAGGAGGAACCATAAGTATGATACCCAATAATAATCTTTAACTACAATGATTCTCACTCCAGAAAAATGGAAGAATCAAGGAATATACTTTCTTCTACATTTTCCCCCTGAATCAACAGGCAACGAACAGGCTGATGAGAGGGCTGGCCCTGATATCCTTACAAAAGTTATTTCTCCCTGAACTAAAATAAAATTGTACTTTGTATGTGTGGATTACACATGTCCTAGTTGCTTTTAACAAAAACAAAACAAAAAAGACATCAAGTAACTAATAAAGTTAGGTCTAAGACAACTTACCTCTCCAGGGTGCAATCTATCCCAATTTTCATTAATGTATGTCATAAGCTCAAGTTCAGAATCAAAGTATTTCTTCTTGTGAATAACACTTAGGTTGTAAAGGCATAGGTGTGCTATATCTACCCTGGAATCCAAAAATAATCAAAATACACAAAAACAATATTTTTGGTTATTGTTAAGAAATCACACCTTTTTTTTAATAAAAACAGCAACTAAAAAAATCCAAAGTGAAGTATTCAGGTGAACAGAGGGTCAATATTTTTTAAGTCATTTACAATATAATAAATCATTAATTATGAAATAATTGGAAAACATTAACTAATAATTATAAACTAACATATCTGAGTGATTTCTTACAATGCATTTGAAGAGGATCTGACTTTGAGAAAAAATAATTTATAATCAAAAATTTTATGTTTTCACTACCACATATAACCTACAGAATAGACCAGACATTAACAGACTTTATTTTATCTGATTCATGAGTTAAATCTTATCTTTTCCTAAAATACGCAAAACATTTTTAAAAAATTTCTAAGTACTTACTACAAGCATTTTATGAGTAAATCCCCAAAATTCATCACACTTCCCCTGTCCAACAATTACTACACTGAAGGAGAAATTGGCATATTTGTTATAAGACCTTTCTCTCTTCTACTGTATGCTATTCTAAAGGCCCAAAAGAATTAGAATATGAATCTTGAAGACATGAATAAACATGAATAAAAATCTTGAAGATAAAAAATACGTGAAAGTTACATTTTATGCCATTAGAAAATGAATGGCCTTATTACCTTAGCAATAAAACAAGATAATCCTTGGTGAAGATGACATCAGGCTTAAAGATAGATAAAAGAAAAGAAATACAGCCAGGCATAAAGAAAACCAAACTTTTACTTAAGACAAGTTAATGTATAAAGAAAGTTTCATCCTGCAGAGTTAAGAATATGGCTCTTTTTTGCTCCTTAACAGAAACGTTCATACTTACCACTGTAATGGTAGACGTTTGAGGTATTCTGGTCCAGAACTGCAGACAGAACAAATAAATGTATAAAACCTAAGGAAAAAAAAAAGTTCTATATTCAGTAATCAAGGGTATACATAAATTACTTAACAATTAAAGCTAATATTTAGCAAGTACATATCCTACAATTGACGTAACGACTGATACACATAGCAAAATATCATCTGAATTATAACACTGTCGGTGATTTAAAAAATTTCTTTTCCAGTAATGACAAATAATGAAAGAGTTCATATCTAGGGGGAAGAGGCAATTTTTTTTAAACATCAGAAACCTTCAGAGTTCACATATAGATTCATATACAGGCATAGTTTACTAATGGCTTGTGTGTACAAGGAATTGTGATGGCTGCCCCTATATACCTTGTTACATTCAATGCTCAAAACAATCTGGTAAAATAAGCCCAGAGGAAACAAGTCGATCTTCCTAAGGTCAGAAAGATAATAAGTGGCATAAGCCAAGATTTAAACCCAGCTTTTCTGATGTCAAGTTCAGTGCTCTATCTTTTATTTTTCTTCCTAGAGGTCTCTCCACTATTCTACAGACTCCTAACCCAGAAAGCACACTAAGCCTGCTTTTAGAAATTCTTTAGATCTAAGGTGTAAACTGTGTATATAAAGGTTCTATAGCTTTTTCCAATTTCCTATCATAGGATCCCATTGAGGTTCTTTAACAGAAGGAACCAACGAAAATAAGCATAGTGGGGCAATAGGAGCAAATATAATAACTGATCAAATACTTAAAGGCTTTTTGGAATAATATCCAAAAGCACAAAAATTACATATATTTTTAGGTTATGTATAATTTAAATATGTTGTTCAATATTTTCCCTCTAAGGTGAACCCTTTACAAATCATTGTTAAAACTACTTTTAGAAATCTAAAACTGCAAGCATAGTCACAATAAAAAAGCTTAAAAAACCACCAGTAAAGTTCCAATGTCCTTTCTCACCTGTCTCCAAATAGCATTGGCTTTTGAAGGCATTGCACACAAGCCTCATGAAACCACTGCTTACATTTGCAGCATTGTAGCATCTTTAAATACCAGCTATAAGAAAAAATTTAAGATTAAAATTACTACCTTTAATAAGGTAAAGGTTTTTGATTTTTTTTAAGTGGCATTATGCAGAATAGTTCTGATTATAGTATCATGTTTCTGCTATACTTACTGTTAAATTTTTTCTTTCCCAAAAAGTTTATTAAAATTGACCATTTCCTCCCTTCTCTCTTTTATTCATGAGAATTCATAAGCTCTTGAAAGATCTAGCTACTATTTCTAATCAACGGGTGGCTGGTTCCTACACAAGTAAAGGATCTCTGTCAAAGTATAAGCCTGGAATTTTTTTCACATGAACTCTCTACACCCTAGGAGAGATCAGTTTCAGAGTCACTGATGTGTATGGCTATTTACCCAATACACTGAATGGCCATAGGCAGCTTTATATCTTCACTGTGTTTCTATTTTTCTTGTCCTTATAATAAAAAGGAAAAAAGTATAGCAATTTACTAAATTTGGTTAAGATAATCATCCACCGAAGACTATCAGGCATAAAAGGCTTTGTGACAGGTTTTGTTCTGTTTCAGAGAGCTGAAGATGCTAAAATTGAATCTTCAGCTGAGGATGTTCTCTCTTTTCAGTTAGTACATGGTTTTGATATATTGATATCCTTATTTGCCACCCAAATAATGTCTTTTCTTCCAATAATTCTTTTGCTCAACAAGTCCTACATTAATTTTAAGCCATACATAGGCAAAGGCAAGAAGACTGCTTTTAAGTAAAGTCATTCATTCATCAAAAGACTAAGAATACTATGTTCCAGGTACTCTGCTAGATGATGAAGTTAGTGTAGTTAGCAATATCAAACACAGTTTATGTAATCATGGTACTTAAAGAACAATAATCTGCCTCCTAAAATAATGTTTATAATGGTTTTCACCTATTTCGAATAATACTTTAAACTAAATGCTAGCTATAAACGAGTAAAGGAGCAAGATCAGTCTCATTTCATTGTATGTCTTTTATAAGTGATTAAAGAAACTAGAAACAATGTTTCTTAAACCTGCAGGTGATCCAAAACTGAGAAATGTTACAAAAATGTTAAATCACACCAAAAAATTCCATAAGATCAGACACAAGGTAGAACGCAGAACTAAAAATTCATTGGTTTATTCATTTGTTCATGTTTTCAATCATTGAACACCTCATATATCCCAGCATCCTCCTAGACAGCACCCTTATCTTAAGAGAAGCACAGAATCTGATAAGAAAGAAAGATATAAGAAACCAATAATTACAATTTAAAAAGAGTTAAATATAAAGCTATTCACTAATTTTTTTTAAATGTAGTACAAATATATGATGCACAACTTGGCTCAATATCAGCTTGTATGAAAAAAGGAACTGTAGGTCTTAGTTACTATATATAGAGAGAGACAATACAATCTCTCTTTACAACAGAAGCATAATGTTCAGAACTCTAATGGCCCTATTATATTCTGTCAGACTATTCCTGGAAACACTGCATTTTCTAATCATGACATAATATCTCAAGAGTAACTTTCAAAAACTAAAGAGCAACAAAGACAGAGTTTGGAAATCATGTCATAAAAAACGTTTTATGTCAATGGAGATTTTAGCCTGGAAAACAGAACACTATCAGTATGTAAGCCACGGGAGTGAGGAATATGATTGTTGGATTAAAATATTTTAACAGTTACTTCCTAAGAAAGATAAGATGTATTTGTTTAGTTCTAAAGATCAGAACTAGGACCAATGATCAGAAGTTAAAGGTAAATTTCTAAACATTCTTAGTTAGAACACCGATTCATTTACTTAGCAAACATTTAATGATAAAGATGAACAAAACTATAGGCTTTAATCTTCCCCTGTAATTTTTCCTATTGATACTTTCACACATTTACAACTCACTATCACTCCCACACCACAATCAATAACAAAAATAAAGTAGACAATATAAGCAAATGAAAATTACTTTAAGAGCATTAAATAACGGTATTTACTTACTCTCCAGGGCCTCCACAATAGCAGTAACATTGCTGGACATTGGTTTTATGACCTGCATCCCATTCAAGGTCTGCCACACTATAGGGTAATGTCTGCTTCATGACTTGCAATGCTTTGGCATTTGGTCCTTTCTTAAGTGCACCACCCCTCTATATAAGAGGGAAAACGTTATTTAAAAGAGTGAAGGATAAAATTTTAAATACAATTCTATAACTTAAAAATGCTTCTGAAACTTCTGAGAAAATTTCCATTCTAAATTTCTTACCATTTCACAAACTGTTTGACTAATAATAATCTTTATTTATTTTCTCTTTTCTTTCAAATTATTGCCCCAATTCCAAAACCACTATCAGAAAATAAGTGCAAGAATAGTTGCAAGTCACTTAAGCATCATTAGTCAAACAAAAGCAGCACTTCTTTCTGCTCAGCATTGATTGCTCATTTCATTCAAATAAACTTTCAACGTACACAATCATTATGTTGATAGTGACTTACAAATTCCATTTAGGGCTTTAGCCCAAAACACTTAAAAGATACCTTTGTTGTTGTTGCAAAAACACACTGTCGACACAGCCATTTTTCATCTGAATCAATCACACTGGAATCAATATGAGGTGTGTGACACAACTGATGATATCCTTAATATCAAAAAAAGCATAAAGCAAATTCTATTTTATTGATAAATACTGCAACACAATTTCAAGAAGGCATTTTAGTATTCTCTTTTCCTACATTAATATATTTACAACTGATGAATAAATTTATGGTAACAGCTTTAAATTACCAACTTAAAGTATTTTTAATCATTAATCTTCAACAGGGGTATTAAGTATGTAACAAAACTTTTCTACAAAATTAAAAGAAATCAATGTTTACCTTGGCCACACTTATCACATATAACCATTTCATTGGGAGCTTCTGAATACTCTTCTTGACATATTGTACAGACCATTTCCCCACTTCCAGTGGCTCCTGAAATATTTAAAATATACCTTAAATACACAGTCATGGGCCCAGCCCGGTGTATAGTTCGTTAACTTTGTGTGCTCTGCTTTGGTGGCCTAGGGTTCGGGAGTTCAAATCCTAGGCACAGACCTACACACCATTCATCAACTCATGCTGTGGTGGTGTCCCATATACAAAATAGAGGGAGACTGGCACAGATGTTAGCTCAGTGACAACATTCCTCAAGCAAAAAGAGGAAGAATGGCAACAGATGTTAGCTCAGGGCCAATCTTCCTCACCAAAAAAAACCAAAAAACAAAAAAAAAAACCCCAGACATTTGTAATAAAGAAGCGTTCCATATAACAATACTACTTTTTCAACTCAGTGAATAGCCCATAATGGCAATGTTTGTTCACTAGAGTATAATGATTTCTTCTCAAGGCAAAGTACTATACACAAAATGCTATCTCTGCTGTGTTCTTCTCACCTTTAACTTAAGATGCTAACCATCTACATTCATAATTTAACCTGTTTTTTGGCAGAGGGCATAATTTAAGCTGCTCTCAGATAGGATTCCTTATCATTCACTTCCAATATTCCCTCTCTCCTGAGGAGCTCAAGGGGAAGTGATGTTTTATGAATACCAGAACTACTCTGCAGAATACACATCAAGCCAAGTACATGTATTCACTCATCCTACATTGCTTAACATATGACAATAAAGAAAAAGAAAAAGGAAGCTATGTCAATGACCCCCTTCACTCTAGATTCAGAACATTTATTTACTAATTTATGAAAGAGGCTGAACACCAATTATTTAATCTTCAGCTTCATAAATCTGGAAATATGGTGACCAACAACGTACCCTAACAAAATCCCATTGCAACAAACGTTATAAGTCACACAGTTATTAATTATATTTTTTACCTGAATAGGTAAGTTATTTCTTCCTTAAAACATTTTTATTCTAAAAAACAATTTTGTTATACAAAATTTAGAATACAATTTTATCACTCTAATGCAATTATTTCCAATACTATCTTCCCATCAATTTCAACATACCTAGTTAAAATACTAACACACACTTTATTCACACACCAACAATAATACAAATTCACAATTTTGTGCTATGGGCTAACCATTGCTAGGTTCTTGACATATATTGTTTTGTTTAATCCTACAACTTATTAGATAAATATTCTACTTATAGAGAAGAATTGAGGCTCAGAAAGATAAAGTAACTAACCCAAAAACCTCAGTCAGAAAGTATGAAGGCTAGGATTCAAACCCAGATACGCCAGAGTCCACATTCTCTCCACTGTGGAATGCTTCCCTTATCAATACTACGTAGTATTTCTTCTATCAAAAGCATTTCCCAGGGCCGGCCCTGTGGAGTAGTGGTTAAGTTTGGCGAGCTCCACTTTGGCAGCATGGGATCGTGGGTTCGGATTCTGGGTGAAGACCTACACCACTTGTCAGTCATGCTGTGGTGGCAACCCACATACCAAGTGGAGGAAGACTGGCACAGGTGTTAGCTCAGGGTTAATCTTCCTCAAGCAAAAAAAGAGGAAGATTGGCAACAGATGCTAGCTCACGGCCAACCTTCCTCAGCAAAAAAATAAAATAAATAAATAAAAAGCATTTTTCACACTGCAGTTTTCAAAATTATAATTTCTGTATAATATTCCATCCAGTGGAAAGAATCAAATCTACTTTATTATGCCTCTGTTTTTAGACATACGAGTTACCAAATTTGTTGTTTGTTCATTTTTTGCATTTTTTCTTGTTTGTTTGTTCTGGTCTCTTGTCCTCTCTCCCCTCCTCTCCCAGGGTTGGTCTACTTCTCTGTACACTTGGCTGGATAAGGCCTCCCATAGCTTCTGATTTTATGGCTCCAGTCAGGAGAGCAAGCAGACTGAGCCTGGGACCTCTGAGTCCAAATCTGCAATTCCCTGGAAAAGGACCGATACCCTCAGACTAAGGTAGGTGCCTGATCTAACTCCCACCCTAACCATGTGGACTTGTGTGGGGGGAAGCAGTTCCCCAGAAAAGGGGGTGCTGATCCAACAATGTGTGTTCACCTCAGAAAACAATCCCGAGGAAACAGGGAATTACTTTTACTTGTGAAATCCAAGTACATCTTTTTTACCACCAAGTGTACATGAACTTTTTGTGTAGCTTAGAGGTCTTCTATAGTCCCTTTACTCTAAATCCAACTGACTAAAGTCCTAGCCATTTCTTCTTAGATATACCAAGTTTTTTGTTCTTGTTAAAATAAAGCTATAGTAAATATTTCTCATGTAGCTTTTTTGCTTTTGAATTATTTCTTCAGAATAAACTGCTAGAAGTGAGTCTGCTATATAAAGAGTATAAAACATTTTTATGCATTTAATGCAATTGTTAACATCCAAAACAGAAATTTTCACTGCCACCAGCAGTGTATCATTTTCACAGAAACCATAATAATATGAGGTATTAAAATTTAAAATCCTTTTAAATTTATTTAATGGTTTTAACATGGTATCTCCCTGTTGTAAAGCACAGTTCTTTGACTAGCAAGATGACTATATGTTTTTCCTTATCCACATAAACTTTTAAAAAGAATCTTTTTAGATGAGTGAAATTAGTTTATTAAGTTATTTTGATATATATTTAATATCAGCAGGTTTCTTACAAGAATAAAACTACTAAAGCTACTCTACATTCTGAAATCTGTCATAATACAGATTTCAGGTTCATTTGCTCATTCTACAGCAACTCCAAATCACAAGCCACAACGCTACTTTCTGGGCGTTACAAAGAGTTAAATGGCCAAGGAGCAATCTTTTGTAATTCTAAGGATAGTAAAAGGAGCTGGTGAGGAAAGAACCACCACAGACCACTAAACTGATATACTGGATGGGGCACATGTTGGACAGGACCCTTCACTTTCACAGCTTTCTATCTTTATGTACTACTGGTTTTCTTCTTCCTTTCTTAACGGAAGGAAAGGAGGGAAGGAAGAAAGAGACAGAAAGACAGACCTATATTTAACCCACAGGAACCCTGAAAAAGCAGAAAAGTTGCAAGGGACACACAGCTAATAGAAGGGGAACAAGGGCAGTATAACATGTTTCAATCCCACCATACAGAAATCCATGTTTACAAAGTAAGAAAGAAGGGATAATTCTGTATGCAGGGTAAGAAGATCTGCCCAAGATCACTACTGTTGGAGATCTATCTTTATCCTATTCTTTTTCTCATTGATTCCTCAATTTCAGATTCAAAACATAATTTTTGTCCTTTAAATTATCAGTCCTAAGAACTGTAAAAAGTTTCACAAGAAAGACATTTTACTAGAGTAAAAGCTGTTGAGTTTCTCACCTAAACCCTGAGTACTAACTATATAGATGGTAATTAGAACATTCCAATTTCTGTACCAAAACTTTTTTTATTCTTTAAAAAAAATTAAGAGTGAAATCAAGAAACAGAACACAGTAGCAACCTACAATAACGTTGCACTTGGGATTCAAATACAAAACCCAATGGCTAAATACTTTAGAAGGTATCCACCCTTTAGGGAAAGAGAATTTATATCTCCTTTCTACAGGAGGAGATATAAAACACAGGTCTTAGTGCAAGCCTATTAACCCAGTAAAAAGAAAACCAAAAGTGGAGCTTTAGTGTGCAGCTAAAATACTCAGATTTTTAATATTCATACTTTTTATAAATAAAGCACTTTCCATGAAAGAATCACCTGGAAAAACACCTTTATTTAGCAGATTCAAAGGGCATACAGCAATTATAATTTGTAAAAATGGAAAGCATTACAAGAAACGTAACTATAACCAAACCAAGGCATGCCTGTATTCATTTTTACTTGCACCCAAATATAGCTTCATTTTCCCATCTGAACATAAAAAACCATAATTAAACAGTAATTTCAAACCATTCTTAGTAATAAATTATTTCTAATACTCTAAACCTGTTTAATATATCCTAATTCCCAAAACATCTGGCAGGTAGTATCAATAAATATTAGCTCTCTACAATACTTTCTACTAATATAAGCAAGTAACAGTTAAATTGAAGCCCAAAGTGTTACGCATATTAGTGGCTAAAACTTTTTCTTCAAAGTTCTTAGAAGGACCCTAACGCTAGTTTATAGGTGTGCACCAGTGATGCATCTGACCTCTACCCTAACAGAGTAATTCTTGTTCTTCTATGGTCTATAACTCCTTGAAGACTATGAACACATTCATTTTTTTAGCCTCTCCTCAAAAGTGACTGAGTTATCTTAATACACTGTACTCAAGAGACAACACTAGAAAATGACAAGATGAAGAAAATCAAATTTTAGTATAAATCATGTTCAAGAGAAATAGTAGCACCTGCCTGTTTGAATGTCCTTCCAGAGAACCCAGGATTTAGAACTGTCTTCAAATATGATGAAGCAGCTCTGTTTTAATATGTTTATCTGAAACATAGAATATTTATGGTGATTTCTTTTAAAATTAAAAACACAAAGTTAAATTTAAATTCAAAATTTTTTAAAGTTTACAACAAAAACAACAAAAGATCTCTTATAATAAGGTAACTTGCCTTTTTGATAGTTCCAAGATAAAACAAGCCATCTGACCATCTAGCTAGGACATCCTGACCCTCTTCAAATTTACATGCTGGCTTTTTGACTTTATGTCCATCCTGTAAAGACAGCTTGGTCAAGGATGTTGGGGTCTTTTGGTTTCGACGTAAAGGAGACCGCTTGTGGACCAGTGAATTACCTGCCCCTGTAGAGTCTCTGTTTAGGAAATAAAAGACCATATGTAAGATTAACTTACTTGTAGGGTTTATTTCATACCAATGATGTATTTCATATATTAATCAAAATTTCTGATTAAAACTTTAAATTCAGGGAAAATATAACGAGTACCTCAAATTACAAATACTCTCCAGAAACAAAGAAGTTTAAAATAAAATGATAGAAGTTCTCAATATTCATTCAGTGCCTACCCTAAGTGAGGCCAGGATTCAGCAACCACTCCAAGATAACATATTCATGGCAGCTATCATCAAAATAACAGCTCTAAGTTGAAGTAGGCAGGCTATGGTCATGAGGAATAGATGCCTTGAATCTCATGACTGGTTTTAGATAAACTAAAAGAAGTTACATGGCACAATTTCATAAGCACTTGAAACAGAATAAAAGTGATTATGCCACACATATAACACACTAACCAGTCACTTTGGGATGGTTGAGTATATTCATGGGTAGTCATGATCTCCCTACAGGGAATCAGTGAATTGAGTCTTGTTTATTGATAGGAAGGTGTCACAGTACCTCAAATATGCAGAATGGGAGTTAAAAAAAAAAAAACTGAGAACCACCAATTTCACAATATCATACTCAAATGAGAAGTATAAGATCATTTACTAAAAGACTCCAAAATTATGTACTCCAAAATCACATTATAACTTATGTATCAGTTATTCCATAAACAGCATACCATACTACCATCAACTTTCAAAAAGGTAACAAAGTGGTGTTTGTTTGGTTTCACTTTCCCTATGTAGATATTTTTCACTAATTAAACATACAACAACATGTAAAACTACAGACAAGAATTGAAAAATAAACAATGCAAAAGTTAAGTAAAAATATAACAAGTGAGGGAGAAAGAAATGTTTCAATACCTAGGAATTGGGAATGCCTAACTTCAATTCAATTCAATGCCTAAGAACCCACACATTCTGGGAAATTCTGTCATAAGCTACAACATGTATGAATCCTAAAGACATTATGCTAGGCAAAATAAGACATAAAAAGGACACATATTGTATAATTCCACTTATATGCTGTAACAAGAGTAGTTAAATTCATAAAGACAGAGAGTAGAATGGTGGTTGCCAGGGGCTGGGAGGAGGAAGGCATGAGGTGTTACTTTTTAAAAGATATAATGCTTCAGTTTGAAAGACACACTGCATTTTAAAGATATCCAAAGGAAGAATGACTAATATATTCCCAAATTTGCTGAAAAACATTAATGTGCACATCCAAGAAGCTCAACAAACTCCAAGTAGGATGAATGCAAAGAGAGATAACCAGACACACGATAGCAAAAATGGTGAAACACAAAGTGAAAATCCTAAAAGTGACAATAAAAAAACCTCATTATGTACAAAGAAATCCCAATAAGATTAACTTCTCATCAAAACCAGAAGGCAGTGAGATGACATATTCAAAGTGCTGAAAGAAAAAAACCTGTCAACCAAGAATCTTATATCCAGCAAAACTGTCTTTCAAAAATAAAGGTGAGGGCTGGCCCAGTGGCACAGTGGTTAAGTTCACATGCTCCACTTTGGTGGCCCAGAGTTCATAGATTTGGATCCTGGGCACAGACCTACACACTGGCCATCAAGTCATGCTGTGGTGGCAACCCACATACAAAATAGAAGAAGACCGGCACAGATGTTATCTCAGGGCCAATCTTCCTCACCAAATAAATAAATAAAGGTGAAATAAAGATAGTCCTAGATAAACAAAAACTGAGAGAATGTGTCGATAGCAGAGCCACCTTACAAGAAATACTAAAGGAAGTTCTTAGGGTTGAAATCAAGTAAACCAAGGTGAAAATTCAAAAAAACACACAAAAAAACTAGTAAAGGTAGTTAAGTAATTATTAAAGACAGTATAAACGCATATTTACTCTAATGCAAGCATGTGAAACAATATGTATATAATTGTATTGTTAGGCCTATAACATATAGAAATATATTTGATAATAACAGCACAAAGGAGATGGTGCAAACAAAATTGTATTAAAGTTAAAAAATGACACCAGATGGTAACTCCAAGCCATAGGAAAAAATGAGGAAAATCAAAAACCGTAAATAAGAAAGTAAATATAAGTGAAGTGAGTATGTTACTTCCAGGAAATATCTGCCATATACCCACGTTAGTCATTGTTTCAAGTAAAAATGGTGTTCCGTGAAAAAGCTGTTAGTTCATCTGGCAGCTCAAACAATGGTGTAAATACCTTATGTTTACTTCCAATTTCATCACACATGATATTAAACCTAAACTCAAGGTTAAGATTTAGTGAAAATAATTTTTACTATTTCACCAAGAATGTTCTTAAGTAAAATAGAGTTTTGTGTGTGTTTTGGTTTTTTACTGTAAGTGCTCAACAATGAAGAATACTAGTACAGTTTGATGCCACTGACTTGTTTCATGCTAAGGCACACAGCAGTCTGACCAAACACTGTTTTCACACCATCTGTACAAATGTGGGAAAGGCAAGTAGTATCTTAATATTATCATGAAAATAGTTTTGACCAGCAGACCCCCTGAAAGGACCCATAGGTCACATTTTGAGAACCATGCTCTAATAAAGAAATACATACTGCCATATATTATTGCCATTGTCAGTTGCGAGGAAAAGGCACTTTAGTACTACAATTAGAGGGGTTAAAAAACTTAAAAGCCTGACAAGATGAGTACTAGGAAGAAGTAAAAATGGAATATGAATCACTACCATAAATTTTACTACCAGGAATTCTCAATCCCAGGCTGAGAACCTTCTTTCTCCAGACACTGAAACAATTTAATGCCTTCAAATCACAGTATGAAAATGACTCTGTCAGCAAGCAACTTTGTAAAAAGCTATAAATCCCCCGGTCAGTTGAGTGATTTTGCTTCCTTTAAGATAAAGGAACTAATCAAGGCTTGAGCAACATAATGGGTGAGAAATGACCTCAATAGAATGTCAGAGTAACTACTAGGAGACCTAAAATCTTCCAATTCTAGAGTGAAAGATGTACAAAAATCAAAATTGCCAACATTTCCAGACAGTTTCATATGTTCTGCTATTGCTTCAGCAAATTCTCTCCCTTTTTCATGATGGCAAGGTCTGTCTCCATCTTACTCTCCACTACCGTGTGTCCTTAAATCATAAGATATCAAACATGTTTTTATTTTCCACCTCCTAGTGTTTCTGCCCTGATTCTCCTAATATTTCTAGTGTATTGTGTTTCAATGATACCAGATCTAATAATAGTTACCCTTGATTCCTTATGCCCACTCCCACCACCACCTCCTTATTTTTTTCCTTCCATTCAACTAACCTCTGGGAAAAAGTTACTCAGTGATTACTATGTGCTCAACCTACATTAAGCGTTCGGCATATTCATTCATTCACGAATGATTTTTTGGCCCCTATTATGAGTCATTTACTGTGCCAGGGGAACAAAGATAATTTAATATTCAGAACAATGCTATAGAGACATTTTTACAGATGACAATTTCACAGATCCCTTTTCACACATGAAGAAACTGTAACTGTAAGAATACAGAATAACTTGACCAAGGTTATAGAAGTATAGATCAGAACCAGCATTCAATAAATCTTTCTAGTGGCACCCTCCCTTAGCATTCAACTTAGTATTCAACTATGCTTAAAAACTTGCAAGATCTTGCTTGGAGGGAAAAGAGGAGAACAACTAAATTTCTTTCTTCCCATTCACCGCCAAACCTCTGGGGAAAAGTTATACACACTTAACTGTCTCCACTCCTACAGTCTTCCCCACTTAGTCTTCAGCCCACCCCAGCACACACAACCAATCCTCCACCCAAACACTCCACCAAAAACAGGGAATGTGTCTCTCTTACTCTTATTCACAGTTGTATCCTCAGTCCTCTGCATAGGGTATAGTACACAAAATGCAGAAAGGCTATACGGAATTTATAAAGTTAAAGTTCAATTCAAGTAAAATCTATATTTAAAGAGTTAAAATTTTTTAAATGACTACATACACAAATAATCTCAGTTTTGCTCTGAGTAAACAACAGGCTAATTCACATCTAAGTCAAATACACACTAATCTTTTACCCACATCAACATGAAGAACATAAATCATATATAAAACTGCATTAATAAAAAGATTAAAAAGTATTATCCTCTTTTAAAATTTCTCTGCCCAAAGAAATTTTACAGAAAACAAAGCAGGAAAGGATAAATGACCCATAATACCACAACTAAAACATAAGTAGGAGAAACACTGTACATTCCCCCCCAACACCAAGGTTTTTTCCCTCATTACTATCACTGATTACTTCCCTCTTCTCTGGAATGTGACTTTTATTAGAAGCCAAATTAATTTTTCTAATTTTAGAATTCATTATTTCCTTTCTGATTACAAAAGTAAACATGCATGGTAAAATAAATAATACAGAAATACATAGTCCAAGTAAAAATCCCCCATTCTACCTCCTCCCACAAAAGAAAACTAATGTTAATCTCCTGATTTTTCTCATGTTTATACTACATATATAAATGTTTTAACAAAAAGTGGAATATTTTTAAATACACTGTTCTATAACTTTTCTCAAGTAACAATGTATCTTGGACAGTATAATATCCATCTGTATAAGTATAAAACAAAAGTTTATAAAATAATCTTTTCATCAACTGCTAAGCTACTTTTCAACTGAGGAATACTTAGGATGTTTCCAGTGTTTTACTATTACAAGCAATAATGTAAATCTTATCCTTTTACATTTCAATTTTTAAGTGTTCCAACTACTATATAGGATAATTCATAAAAAATAATTACTGTATCAAAGAATATGCACAATTTTCCTTTTTATTGTAGAAAGTTACAAACATATACAAAAGTAGACAAAGCAAGTATAATAATTCATCAGGTATTCACCACCCAGTTTCAATTATCATCTCTTGGCCAACCAGTTTCACTTAAACATCCCATTTCCCCCCAAACCATATTATGTATATATTTTAATGGGATAGATGTTGTCAAATGAATCTCCAAAAAAGGTACCAACTGACATTCTGACTGACACTATCAGAGTGGTACTTGATGGCCCCTCCTTCACTAACAGGGAGTATTCTCCTTTTGCTATTTGACAACACAGAAAATTTCTATTATTATTAGAGAAGTATTTTTCTCATAGGTTTGTTAACAATTTATGTCTTCTGGAAACTGAAGTTGATTTCCTTCGCCCATTTTTTAAACTATGTTAATTCTTTTTATAATGATTTTCAAGAGCATCTTATATATCATGAATGACACTTTGTTATACATGTTGGAAATATTTTTCCCAGTTCATACACTGTAAAAGAGCCACGATAAACAGACCTTTTGATAGAGGGGAATCACTACGTCTAGGGGCTTATGTGACTCTGATCAGTAGCTACAAAGCTAGATCTCTCATCTTGCATCCAGGCTAGGCAGCCTCTCCCATTAAAGCAGTAAGACCAGAGAAAATTTAAACAGAAAACCAAAACAAATAAAGGAGTTAGCCCACATGCCTTATCCTTAAACTCTGTACTTTCTACTTCCGCTAGTGGGTTATATAAGGTGCTCCCTGCTCTTCCCAACACCCATTAAACCTCCAGTCCATAACTTTTCATTATACAAGATGTTAATAGTGTCTAGAATACGCCTGCTTCTCCCAAATGGAGTTGATGCAAGTTAAATTTCACTATATTTGGCAGACAATTTTTAGTGTATAAATTCAATGCATTTCCAATTAATCCCAGCAAGATTTTTTGAGGTCAAACATTTTATAAAATTAATAAGAAAAACTACAAGTCCATAGAACAGTTAAGTCAACTTCTAAAAGGAAGAACAAATTGGGGAAGACCTGCCCTATGAGATACTGTGAAAATACAGTGAAAAGAAAGTACAGAAGATACAGAGAAAAACTGTTCTGTACTGTTAAGGAACAGCCAATAGACAGAATGGGTATCTCCAAAACAGACTCATTTATGGGAAGTTGATAAATGACAAAAGTGATCTCACAAATCAGCATAGAAAGGATGCATTATTTAGTAAATAATATTGTGGAAACTGCCTCACTTAAATGTAGAAAAAGTTACATCTCTAATTCACAATACACAAAAAGGTGAACTTTAGATGGATTAAAGACATAAAACTAAAATGCAAAATTTGAAATCTAACTAGAAAATGTAGAATATTGTTGTGATCTTAGAAGTGGAGCATACATTCAACAACACAGAAGGATCTTGCAAATATACTGATGAAAACAGAAGAAAATTTACAGCACAATTATCATTTATGCAAACTAAAAACATGCATATATAACACTATGTATCTTACAAGGACACACACATATGCAAGGATATATATTAAATATATTCAAGCGGGTATGTTAAGACGACTGTAACTGAGAGCAGGGATCTGACTGAGGAAACTGGACATATGCTGACCGCAGACTTGGGATGATGTAGCACACTTTTCCACTGTTACTACAATACATCAGGCTCCTCATAATATACAATACAGGTGACAGAGTGGTAGAAGTTAAGTCATATTTCAAGAACAGTCACCACCAACAAACTATTTGCTATCTGCTTTTACTATTTGGCAACACATACAGAGACTATTCCTATCTATAATAATATTATCATTAGACAAGCATTTTTTTCATCATTACTACTGATATTCATCTTGAAAGAGAGTGCCTGGACAAAGAAGTTTCCTCCCTTGAAACAAAGTGGAGACCAAGGGTTCAAGCCACTTCTTCCTACTTGGTTTACTACTCTCACAATAAATAAGAAGCTGATCCAAGAACTTGGGAACCGGATGCACAATTCAAACAGTGTGGCTTTTTTTCTTTCTCATCCATTCCCAAATTTATTCCCCCAGGTAACAAGGAAACTATCTGAATATTACTTGTAAGACCATGAACCATTTATTTCATCTGTCTGAGATAATCTCTGAGGACTACTATGAGGCTAACATTAAAAAACATGGGTTAGGAACTTGACATAGTATAATTTCTCAATAGATGGTGGAAGAAATATCAAGAAATTCAACTCACTTTCAGGTTAATTATTTTTCTTTCAATAAATATTTAATGAGTACCTGTTCTAGGCCTGGTGAATAAGACAGTCAAGGTCCCTATCTTTAGGGCCCAAGATTTTGGTAGGAACAACTTGGCTTTCCTTCTCAAGGCTTCTTTCCTGATTCAGGTTCCACCCACCAAGTTCAGGTTAGAAGCTTGTGTGTGCTACAGTTCTCCCATCGTTATACTTCTCACATGGTGCTCCACTTGCCTACCTACCTGTCTTTATCTACTCCCCACTCCCTAAACTGTTTGTACTGAAAGGGTAAAAGACAGTCCCATTTTTGTTTACCATTACTTTCCTAGTAGCTAGCACAGTGCCCAGAATGGCACAGTGCCCAGAATGTAGTAGGAACTCATAAATAATCAGTAAATTATACCAGCATTAACTGGTAATTTAATTAAAAGCAGTCTCTAAGAGCCAAATGCCACTACCCCAACACAGCACTCACCTCCCCAGTAGGAACTTTCATCCCTCTACTGTACTGCTGAGGGTTCCCATCCCCTCTCTGATAACCCCAATCAGCCATGACAGATCCACCATAACCATGTCTCTAGTACTATTGCCAGTATTCTTCAGCCCACAAGTACTACTTGGCAGCTAAGGGAGGAAAGGAAGAAGAAAACCTAGTCCCACTTTGCATTGCCACCTCCCACTAGAGCACTCCTCTTCCTTTGACTTGCCTCATTCCACAAAGTCAAAAGAGTACACAATAGCAGGAAAAGATCAGCACGACTAAGAGAGAAAGGGAAGAAAAAAATCTATTCTGCTGTTATCCTAACCCCAAGCATCACAGGTCTTGACCAATCTCATCTTAAAAAGCAAAAGCTGCCATCTTTTCCAGGCTCTTTCCCACAATTTATTTCCCTTCCCTGGAAAAAGTAGCACATGTGTGGGTGAATCCCATGTGAAGGATATAACGTAACCTAACAATGGTGCCACTGTTAGCCGGGCCTTTCACAAAGATATGGTCAAATTCATGAGGTCAAGCAGGGCCAAAGTATAGTGCCCAGGTACAAAAGAAGCAGAAGGCAATCTACTGAAGCTTGGCCCTAAATTAAAGCTATGGGTAAGGAATTCTTTTATCTTTTGAGGCAGGTGTACTAAAATGAAGCCTGGGACCTTCTTTCTGGTTAAGGTTTCCTTGCAAGTAGAACATCAAAGGGAACCAACCAGGGTAGGACCTAGAGAATAGAAAGCATAAAGCAGGCAGCTTAATGGCTGACTCTACTCGAGTCCTTAGTTTTAGAAATAAAACATCATAATGCATACATTTATCTAAAATCAAGTAGTATAGAAAGGATTAAAATGAAATGCAGTAGTTACCCACCCATCATTTCCCACATCCCAGTCCTGCTCTCCAGAGGCTGGTGCTTTTTAAACTCTTTCAGCTATTTCTTCTGGGAGATATCTCCATATTTCTAAATAATGTGTTTATATTTCTCTTTTTAATTTTTATTTACTTTTTGTTGTTGTTGTTGTTGTTGTTGAGGAAGATCGCCCTGAGCTAATATCTGTTGCCAATCTTTCCTCTTTTTTTTTGCTTGAGGAAGATTCGCTCTAAGCCAACATCTGTGCCAATCTTCCTCTGTTTTGTATGTGGGTCACCGCCATAGCATGGCTGCCCACGAGCAGTGCAGCTCCACACCCGGGAACTGAACCCAAGCCGCCAAAGTGGAGCACATCAAACTTAACCACTAGACCATGGGTCTGGCCCCTATACGTCTCTTTTTTAACTGATCAATTTCAGATCTGACTTATTATTAAAAAAATGATAATCATCAATTCCCATCCTCTACAAATCTTACTGTACTATCTTCATTAAATCAGTAAAATATTTTGCTTAATTAAAACAGTAAATGTTAATCATTGCAAAGCTAAAGGGCATATTCTTATTAATTACTCTTATTCACTTTTCATTTTTCCTGGAAATGCTTATTAATGCGTCCCTTTAGTGCCTCCTTGATTCAAATGGTCAAGGATAATTTCAAACCTTTCTTTATTCCCCAGGTAACTCTTGCTTCTAGAGTTCTCCATGTTCCTGCACCAATCTGGATTGATTACCCTCTAGACTTTGTCATCTTTGAAGTTTCCCTTATCACTGTTTTCTTTTGCTGGAGCAGTGGCTTGCAATAAAAAGGAGTGTGCATGTAAATTTTCTGAGCCTTTATGTATCTAAAACTATGTCAGTCCTACTCTCACAACTGACTAATAATTTCCTGGATACAGAATTTTATGAAAATAATTTTCCCTCAGAAGTTTGAAGGTATTCCTATACTACATTCAGCACTTAGCACTGATGATGAAAAATCTAGGTCATTCTTATTTTCACTCCTTGGTAGGTTACTGCATTTTTTCCCTCAGGAAGTTTTTAAGGATCTGCCTTTATCTTTGATGCCTTCAAATTTCATAAGGATATGTCTAGATGGAAGGTTATCTTTCAGTCATACCTGTTCAGCTCTCAGTAAACCCTTTCCATTGTCTATCCATCTGTTTATCTTGGGCTCTCCTTTCACGCATCAGGCCTTCCTCAACGAATTAGTGATTCTTAGTTGTCCAGTGATATTTAAGATTGAAGTTATAAGAATTCAGAGCTCTTTGTATGTGATGTAGGACTTACAAAGTCTTGAGCTTTACCTTAGGGAAATTAGGTGGGAAGGCAACATTTAGTCTGAAAACCTCTAAATGCCAAAATACGGAGGTCTTTCTTCAGGGACTTACCATTTAAGAACGCCCTCCACATTCTTTACCTGAGGGGCCAGACAGCTGGGTGTGGGTGGGTAGTATCCATCTGTTTAAGATACAAACATCTCACTTCTACCATCTGTAGATGTTAGACTCTCATCCCTCACCTTGCTGGGACCCCTGGTGAGGGTTGCTACTATTGGCTCAGAATTAGCAGAAACCTTAGTCTCACAGCAAGGCAACACTGAGAAGAAAGGCATTCATTAGAGCACAAGGTTAAATTGTGAAGCCATTACAATGGGTAATAAGTATTAGGAACACTGTAAATAATTTATATTACAAATTATGGATTGGTTGACTTGGAATCCTAATTCCCATTTATAATGCCTTATATGCAAAAATGCAGCCTTATTACAAACAACTAACTTATATTTTTGTTTCCCAAACTGCTAATTGCTTATAGTTAAAAACCGGTATCTTAGAATAAATACACTTTTTAATTAACCAGAACATTTTAACCAACCAAAATAGCCCACTCCCCAAACCATGTTGAGTAAGAGTCCAAAGAAAGTTAAGGGAAACATGATGATTTTATTTAAACTCTATGGCTGTGGTCATTCAACAAATATTTGTTGAATATCTGCTTTGTGCCAGGTACTATGCTGAGAGTTAAGAGAAACAAATATGGAAGGATATAGTACATAACACAAAGGAACTAGCCTAAGTGGGGAAATAAACACTCATGCTGTGCAGCACACAAAAACTATATATAATTCCTATAATGAATAAACACAAAAAGAATAATTTCTAATCTATCCAGGAGTAAGACACAGGGTCAGTCATGACTTCATCAACACTCAGCTTTTAACCTGAAAAATTAGTAGTAGCTTCCCAGATGAACTTTAGAGACATATGCAAAAGCACAAAATACAGAGAAAACAGACACTTTTCTAGGAACAAAACTTCAGTATAGTTACAGCTCAAATTATAAGAGAAAGAAAGTGGCAGAGATAACACTGGACAAATGAAAAGGGCCCAAGCTATAAAAGCTCCATTAGAGACCTTGCCTCTCTGTCTAGTTCACTACTGTATTTCCCTTTACCTGGTACGTAATAGGTTGAATATTGGCTGAATGAATAAACAAACAAATAAATGCTATGCAAAGGAGAGAAAAGATGAGGACCCTAATAAATGGGTAATAATCTATGAACAAAAAAAGAAAAACTCAATTAGGGCCATGAAGGTGTTAGAGCGGAAAAAGGGCTGGGTAGCAGGACTTCGAGTAACCTAGTTTATATATATTTTATATTTTCCAAGATTTATTTTAATAATCATGGTATTACTCCTACATTAAGAAATAATTTTTAAAATGGAATGGACAGTTATTAAGAATTAACTTCATTTGATATTAAGAGCAAAGGAGAAATTTAGAATAACTCCCAGGTTTTCACCTTGGGAAAGTGGGAGGATGGTATGAGGGAAATCAGGAGGAAAACAGTAGCAAGAATAAGTTATTGATGCTCACTCAAGAAGGAACATCTGCTTCACAAAATTTTTATAAAAACTGACCACATACTGAGTCATAAAGCAAGTTTCAACAAACTTCAACGTATAAAATCATACAGTGTTATGTTCTCTGACTGCAATGATTTAAGACTAAAAATCATTAAAAAGATAACTTAAAAGTTTGGAAATCAAGACATATACTTCTAAATAATCCATGAGCCAAAAAAGAAATCATACTGGAAATTAGCAAGTATTCTGAATCGAACAACAACAAAAATACCACATATTATTAAAACTTGTAGGAGGCAGCTAAAGCAGCACTTAGATAAGTCTTAAAATATCTATATTAGAAAAGAAAAAATTTACTAAGACTTGTTTTGTGGCCTAACATATGATCTATCCTAAAGAACGTTCCATGTGCACTTGAGAAGAATGTGTATTCTGTTGCTTTTGGATGGAATGTTCTGTATATATCTGTTAAGTCCACCTGGTCTAACATGTCATTTCAGGCCAATGTTTTCTTATTGATTTTTTTGTCTGGACGATCTATCCATTGATGAAAATGGGGTATTAAAGTCCCCTACATTATTATAATTTCTGTCTATTTCTCTCCCTTTACGTCTGTTAATATTTGCTTTATATATTTAGATGCTCCTATTTGGATGCATAAATACTTAGAAATATTATATCCTCCTGCTGTATTGACCTCTTTATATTACGTAATGTCCTTCTGTGTCTCTTCTTACAGTCTTTTCCAACCACAATGGTATGAAACTAGAAATCAATTACAAGAAAAGACATGGAAAATTCCCAAACATGTGGAGATTAAACAACATGCTCCAAAACAACAAATAGGTCAAAGAAGAAATAAAAAATATATTGAGACAAATGAAAACGGAAATTCAACATACCAAAACATATGGGATGCAGCAAAAGCAGTTCTAAGAGGAAAGTTTATAGCAATAAATGCCTACATCAAGAAAAAAGAAAAATCTCCATAAACAACCTAACTTTAAACTTCAAGGAACTAGAAAAAACAACAAAGAAAGTCCAAAGTTAGCAGAAGGAATGAAATAACAAGGATCAGAGTGGAAATAAGTGAAATCGAGACTAAAAAGACAACAGAAAAGATCAATGAAACTAAGAGCTGGTCCTCTGAAAAGATAAACAAAATAGGCAAACCTTTAGCTAGATTCACCAAGAAAAAAAGAGGACCTAAATAAATAAAATCAGAAAGGGAAGAGGAAACATAACTATTACCAGAGAAATACAAAGGATCATAAGAGAGTACTATGAACAATCGTACACTAACAAATTGGACAACCTAGAAGAAATAAATTCCTAGAAATATCCAATCTACCAAAACCGAAGAAACAAAACAACTAAAGAAACCAAAACATGAAGAAACAGAAAACCTGAACACACCCATTACCTCTAAGGAGATTGAATCAGTAATCAAAAAATTCCAACAAACAAAAGTCTAGGACCAGATGGCTTCACTGGTGAATTCTACCTAACATTCAAAGACGAATTAAGACCAATGCTTCTCAAACACTTCCAAAAAATAGAAGAGGAGAGAACACATACTTATCCTAATACCAAAACCAGACAAGGATGCCACAAGAAAAGAAAATTACAGGCCAATATTCCTGATGAACATAGATGCAAAAATCCTCAACAAAATACTAGCAAACTGAATTCAACAATTCATTAAAAAGATCATACACCATGATCAAGTGAGATTTATTCCGGCAATGCAAGGATGGTTCAATATCCACAAATCAATGTGATATACCACATTAATAAAATAAAGGATAAAAATATGATCATCTCAACAGATGCAGAAAAATCATTTGACAAAATTCAACATCATTTATGATAAAACCTCTCAACAAGGTACAGAGGTATAAAAGGAAAGGACCTCAGCATAATAAAGGCCATATATGACAAGCCCATAGCTAACACCATACTCAACAGTGAGAAGCTGACAGCTTTACCTCTCAGATCAGAAATAAGATAAGGATGCCCATTCTCTCCACTGTTATTCAACACAGTTGGAAATACCACCCGGAGCAGTTAGGCAACAAAAGAAATGAAAGGGATACAAACTGGAAAGGAAGAAGTAAAACTGTCACTATTTGCAGATGACATACTATATATAGAAAACTCCACCAAAAAAACTGTTAAAATAAACAAATTCAGTAAAGCTGTAGGATACCAATATACAGAAATCTGTTGCATTTCTATACACAAATAACAAACTGTCAAAGAGAAATTAAGAAAACAATCCCATTTACAACTGTATCAAAAAGAATAAAATACCCAGGAACAAATTTAATCAAGGAGATGAAAGACTTGTACACTAAAATTATAAGACATCAATGAAAGAAACTAAAGACACAAATAAATGAAAAGATATTCCATGCTCATGACTGTAAGAATTAATACTGTTAAAATGTCCATACTACCCAAAGCAATCTACAGATTCAGTGCAATCCCTATCAAAAATCCAATGGCATTTTTCACAGAAATAGGACAAACAATCCTAAAATCTGTATGGAAGTACAAAAGACCCTGAACAGCCAAAGCAATCTTGAGAAAGAAGAATAAAGTTGGAGGCATCACACTTCCTGATTTCAAACTACAATATAAAGCTATAGTAATCAAAACAGTATGTTACTGGCATAAAAAGAGACACATAGACAATGGAATAGAATAGAGAGGCCAGAAATAAACCCACACGTATATGGTCAACTAACGTATGACAAAGGAGCCAAGAATACACAATGGTGAAAGGACAGTCTCTTCAATAAATGGTGTCAGGAAAACTGGACAGCCATATGCAAAAGAATGAAACTGGACCACTATCTTACACCATACACAAAAATTAACTTAAAATGGATTAAAGACTTAAATATAAGAACTGAAACCATAAAACTCCCAGAAGAAAACATAGGCGGTAAGCTCCTTGACATCAGTCTTGGCGATGATTTTCTGGATTTGACACCAAAAGCAAAAGCAAAAAACAAACAAGTGGGACTACATCAAATTAATAAGTTTCTGTATAGCAGACGAAAACATCAACAAAATTAAAAGGTAACCTACTGAATGGGAGAAAATATTCAAAAATCATGTATCTGATAAGGGGTTAATATCCAAAATATACAAAGAACTTATACAACTCAAGAGCAAAAACTCAATCTGATTAAAAAATGGGCAGAGGATCTGAATAGATATTTTCCAAAGAAGACATACAGATGGTCAACAGGTACATGAAAATAGGCTCAACACCACTAATCATCAGAGAAATGCAAATCAAAACCACAATGAGACACCATCTCAGTCTGTCAGAATGGTTATCATCAAAAAGACAAGAAATAACAACTGTTGGCAAAGACGTGGAGAAAAGAGAACACTTGTGCTCTGTTGGTGGACATGTAAATTGG